CTTTAGTTAGAAAAATAAATATATCTTTTTAAAGGGTACCTTTAAAAATCGGTATTTTTGGGTTTCCCTTTCTTCACTTTTTAGTGTATATATTGTTTATTTACATATTCACAAAAAGCATGCTGTGCAAAAGAGGCTTTATGAGATTAAGAGAGAAACTTAGGTAGAGGGTTACCCACAAAACATGACTCTTCAATGACGACCAAACACTCTTTAAAAATGACGATATGATATTGAATCTTGGCCTTCTGCCTTGGGTAAAAGTCTTTAAACATTATAGTGTGCATGATTTGACAACAGCAGTAACAAGGTTAAAGTTGCAGACCCACAGAATGTCGTAAAAAAGTCTAAATAAGTTTTGTACAGTTGTCTCTGAAGTCTCATCCCTTTTGGGTAACCCAGTACGTACAAAGATAAAGCAAGATACAGCGATAAAAAATACAGAACTCGAAATTAAATGAACTACTGGTTTCAAGTATTCTTTAACTCTACCGGGTCTTTAAATAGATAGATAGAAAAATTGATAGAGAGAGAAGGTTTAGAGAGACAAGAGAGAGAGAGAGAGTCAGAGCCTTAACCTCTGGAAAAACATAGTCTATGTCGGGCTGCGGACCGGAGAATACAACAAGGTCTGATTAAATTTTATAATATAACTATTACGTAAGTTGCATTCATGTATTCTGTCATGTCAGAGTACATAATCTAAAGAAATTGTCAACATTTTCATGCTTACCTCCTTTAAATTATTATCCTTTTACAACGATATACAGATAAAAAATAATGATGAATTATCTGTATTTTTTTATCAGATTAAGATTAAAAAGATCCTATTATTATGAAACGTCAAAAGTACACACATTGATAGCAGATTAAAAATACAAAGGCAATCCCTTTAAAGTTAATGAAAAGGCGAAAGTAAAGTTAAGTAATAATTTTATTTAATTAGGTTCTAGGTTTATTAGGATAACTGTATCGTCTAGGTTTAGTAAGGGGACTTTTTTTAGGTGCTAGGTTTTGTATAAAAAAAACAAGGTTTACTTCTGATTTATATCTAGGTACTAGACTTAGTAGGAAAATGATTGGAGTGTGCAAGTCTGAGTTTAATGTTGGATATTAATCAAGAAATGAACTTCTCTCCGACCGGAAAGTACTTCTCAAGTCATCGAAGGAGGAGGGGCACGCACAGCATTACAGAGGCTGGAGTATGGGGGTTCATTGCAATCATAGAGAAATAAAATACGAACAATAATCCCAACGTAACCTAGGGAGGCCTTCAGATTTTTCTCCTGATACTCCTGAATTCCCTAAATAAAATGTATGCAATAAACATTGAAAATTACTGGGAGCTTACCAGGAAAGGTTTATGACCAGTCAGAATTACAAAAAGTTATTTTCAAGCTTTTTACGAAGTTTAAAGAAAATATTTCAGTTTTTCGAAAAATTTTAAAATATTTTTATTTATTGTTTAGAGTTCGGAGAAGAGGAGTAGGAACTAAGTACATGGGGAGCACTTCTCTTAGCTCCCCAATATCTATCCTTGCCTCGCCCTCTAGCCTGGTCCCAGGTCCCCTCTCTGCCCCTGCAACCTTCTCCTGGGGCAAACAATCTCCCATCCCACACAGAGTAACCACCCCTTCCCCCTTCCTCCTCTCACCTGGACAGGAACATTACCCCCCTGCCCTAGCCAGCTCCCCCCTTATACACACCCCTGATCCCCTTCCTCGACAGTTTCTTCAAGGCGAGGGTAAGGGACCTGCCCTGTCCCTAGGTAGTGAGGTACCTAAGCCGTGTATACCTGTAGGTATAGCGGTTGCAAGACAAAGAACCTCTGAAACCATCCATCCTACTCCGCCTAGTTCTAAACAACCCGGAGTACAAGTTGAACCCTGGAATATACCTAATATACCTAGTTTACCTGTCCTACCTTCTCATCAACTAATTCATCCTCTACCTTTACCAGACTTCTTTACAAATCAGCCAATGCAAGGTAAAAACTATATATTAGCTGAGCTGGCAACTCTTGTATTGTGGAGATCAAGATCAATGCTTGATCTTGATCTTTTTATCTTTATTTGATATCCTGCATGTGGAAATTGTATCCAGAGGGGTTCAATGGAGCTTTGATCAGAACAGGGGAGGAATAATTAAAAATGAAGATATTGAACTGTATAGTTTTTATAGATCCTCAAATTAAAAGTGCTCACTGTTGATATCGAGATGGAGCGAGCGAAATTATGAATATTTCACACTAAATTCCCCAGCTCTGGACACATTTATCAACATTCTAAATAGCAGAAGAGGCCGCACTTAAGCGAACGTTCTTATGACGCACTTAATGTATGAGAAGATGAGTTTAATAGCTCAAAGTGTGACATACATTCAGCAGATTGTCGTCTCTTTCTTTTCTCAATTATTAAATGGCGACGGCTGTTGTATTTATAAAATATTTATTTCTACAAAAGAATTGAGTTTTTGCCAAAAACTAAACTTTCTAATCATTATATCTTTGCAACCTGATGGTGTAATCCTATTTTATTTCAAACTTTAAGTACTTGATCTGATAGAATTCATAATTTGAAATAACAAAGGTCGACCACATCGGATTGCAAAGATATAGGAATTAAAAAAATCTGAGTTTCTGACAAAAACTCAAATAGACATAAATCAAAAATTAAAAATTTCTTTGTGAAAGGAATTGAGTCTTTGTCACAAACTATGACTTTCTAATCTCTATATCTTTGTAATCCAATGCCGTAGAAAGAACTTAGATATTTCAAACTATGAATTCTGTTAGATGAAAAAATCTAAGTTTGAAATATCAAAGGTTTACACCATCAGGTGGAAAAAATAAAGGTATTAGAAAATCAGANTAATGAAAACCTAGGGATAAACCTTTGATATTTCAAACTTAGATTTTTTCATCTAACAGAATTCATAGTTTGAAATATGTAAGTTCTACGGCATTGGATTACAAAGATATAGAGATTAGAAAATCATAGTTTGTGACAAAGACTCAATTCCTTTCTGATGAAAAGTTAAACGAAGACGGTTTAGTCATTCCACAGACATCTGGTTACTGCTGTACAATAACAGGGTTTCTCACAAAGGATGACATTTCACTTACGACTGTACTGTATTTGTTGAGTTCATTAAGTCCTTTAAGTATTTTACATCCATGTTTTCCTACATTTAAAAAAAAAAAACTTTTTTTTTAAACAAACCACTTCTACCACGAAAAGACTATATCGAAGGCAAAAGACCAAATCTGACGTTCTTATTTGATGAGTTTTGAGTAGTCATTTTAATCTGATTCTTTTTATTCTTTGTGTATAATAGAATTTTGTATTTTGTACATTTCTAATAAATAATGTGTAATACAACGACGGTGCTTGGATGATAAGCATGGTATTCTTGTAATTAGGCGCTTCACGAATATATACATTGTTTTTCTAGTGTTTAGTATTATATTGATCGTATTAAAATCTCTTGAATATGACAATTTAAAGCTTGATTTTTGATTTCTGCCTTTAATTTGTATTCTAATAGTTTACAAAATGATAAGCACAGCTAGCACTAGACTTTAAGGAAGCCTTAATGTACGAAAAGAGACTAAACAAATCCGTAAATTACTATAGACTGCAAGGAAGCCTTAATGTACGAAAAGAGACTAAACAAATCCGTAAATTACTATAGACTGCAAGGAAGCCTTAATGTAAGAAAAGAGACTAAACAAATCCGTAAAGTCATCTCTGAAGTCTCATATTATGTTATCATTATCAGTCCCAGGATGTGTGGGGTTGGTGATGTCTAGCTTTAAACGTTGATAGTTTTGAATAAGAATTAGAAATTCTGAAAAATACAAAATCGAATTGGATAGTTGAAAACTAAAAATTGAAATGATTGATTTTAACTTTTAAACTTTCTGGTTAGTATAGTCTCAAGTTTGATGATTGCAAGATAAGAAAACCAGTTTGCTGAGTTACAAAATACTTTCATTGATAATAACATGACCCAGCTTTCTCGATAATATTGATAAAAAGGGGGAATCGCTAATATCCAAAAGTATTTTTTGTCTGTTGTGAACATTTTTATGCTAAAATCATTTTTCCTCTGAACCCTTGAATAATTTAAAACTGAAATGGTTGAACCGCGTAGAAATGGTTCAACTACTTGTCTTCAGCTTGAACAGGCGCACAATTGAAGTTGCTGAATTACGTCTGCACGGTTCAGATATTTCTTGGCGTAAATTAATTCTGGTCCCTGGACTTGAATAGTATGCCGGGACTGCAAGCATGATTTTAAAAGATGTCTGTTAAGTGGCATGTCTGATTCACAACGAGGTCCTTAAAAGCGTTGTCCGATCAGGAACGAACTCTTATCTCTGAAAAATTCATTATTTCCAAATTTGGTTTCTCTACAAAAGCGACATGCGCTATTTTTTTGCAGAAACAATCGGACAAGCCTCTCCTTAAATCAAGGGGCTCTTAAACACCCCTGTATGTCGATTCCATTAGCGCCTGATCCAGTCAGGGTTCAGTCATGTGTTTGGTGTATACTCTGAACCAATAGAAATAGTATTGCGGTAACATCTATCTTTCTATCTATCTCATTATTGAATTAGAGGTATGAATCTTTCTATCAGCGCTATCAGTATAAATGGAAATATTTACTTCTACTGAAACTATAGTGTGAAACGACAGTAATTTAAATCTTTCAAAAACTTGCAAAATATTTCTCACACTTAATATAATTTCTGAAAATATTTCAGAAATAATCCTTCATAAGTACACGATGCATGTTTCGAATTAAAAAAAAAACTATCGCAGAGGAAAATTTAGATGTTTATTTTTCGTAATTTACAACTTAATTTGAGTCTTTAATCCCTATATCTATGAAACTATGACGTTACAGACCTTTGATAATTCAAACTAAGATAAAATAAAACAAAATTTGAAATTTCATATGTTGCACCACCAAGTTGTCAAGATATAGGGATTAGAAATTTTTAGTTTGTGGTAAAAGCTCAAATCCTTTGCAAATGCGTTAAAGGAACTGAAAGCGTAATCTCAAGTGACCCTTCGTGGAAAGATGGCAATGTCCGATTTACAACTGTACCTTTAAAAGGTTAATTTGTCAGTTTAAGTATGAATTAGATATAATGCATGTTTTTGTTTATTAAAACTATTTATTTACTTATAATGGAGAAATTTATAGCAATAAACACTTTCCGAGTCAGAAGAACGACGTTATCTTTCACATTTTTGATCAGATCAAGGTTTCAAGGGTTCCGTTGTAAATCGGGCGTTGCTATCTTTGCATGGAGGTTCACTTAAAATTTCGCTTACAGTCCCTTTAAAGCGTGTGATAAGAGTTTATTACAGTGTCCTGGCTCTGTGCTCTTTTCTTTTATTCTTTTCGTAGAGCCGGGTTATACATAAACAGATATGTTTTTGATTCCAGTAAATCCTGGACAGATTTATTATTTGTTTTGCAAGTCTTTTGGGCATTTACGAAACTAAAGTGTACTTTATCATTCTTACTCACTCATCGTGAATTTCTTAATGAACGTGTTATAAAGTAATTATCGTGCTAAAATGTTGAATTAGCTGTACATTATAGCACGTGTCCAATAAAGTTTTGATTGGTTCCCGGATTTTCTTCAAAGCATTTAGGATATTTCCAAAATATTTTTTCTGTTTTGTTTCAAATCTTATTTTATCTAGAAATAGCCATTAAAATAAGGCAAGTACAAAATCGTTTCATAAAATTATAAACTATTATTTTGGCACAACATGCTATAAAGTTTTTGGACTTAAATTTTCGCTATATCTCAAAGGTTCTCGCCTTTTTAGATAATATTTTGTCCCTCGCTAAAGCTCGGGACAAAAATAAATCTAAAAAGGGATGAACCTTCTCGATAAAGAGAAAATGTACAAAAACTTTATAACACTGTGAACCAAAATAACAGTGTTATAAATACTGAAAATAAAATCGAGAAGATACAAGAAATATATATTGTTGATGGGGGGTGGGGCGGTAAAAGAAACTGTGATCCCAGGGGAAAAAACTTCCTAAAATGTTAACTGTGATAACATTTTTTTAATGAACATAATATAATGTTTGTACAGGGGCGTACCTAGGAGGTGGAGGAGGAGGGGGCGGAGGGTTCTGGAACCCCTACTCATCATATGCATACCCCTACCTTCTACCCTCATCTCTCTCACACTACCAACATTATCAAAACCAACTTCTACTTCTTCAACAAACAGCCCAGGTAGATTAGAACTTAATCTTCCATATATATATATATCGCTTGTCCAAACAGATGAACCGATAAGGCATAAGTTTTTTGTGGTAACTCACAACCTCAGAATTCTATGATTTTGTCTTTAACAAAATTAAATTTTAAATTGGAAATCCAACAATAAAAATCTGCGAAATCAGACATTATTGTTTTTAACAGTGTACAAAGAAAAATTATTGTGATTGAAGTGACTTTTATAACCAAATATTATTATCAGAAAAACGAGTGCCCTAAATAGGGCTAGTTTAGAATTTTTAAACGATGGATTTTTTCTATCAAATTATTCCAAGTAAAGAAGCATCAGATTAAAGTAGATTGAGCAGCTGAAGATGTCCAATTCAAACTCAATCAAACAATAAAACATTAATAACAAATCAACTGACAATCCATTAACTTCTATCAAAAAATGCACTTTTTTCAGTTTTCCTGTACACAAAAATGCATCTAGTCAATGCAGATTCTACAAAGATTAATATCTAAACATTTTTTTTTAAGATAAGCTTTGATAAGAACATCCTAAACCATCAAAACAAGAAAAAAAATTTAAATGTTTAATTAAATAATTTTTGAGATTGTTTTATTATCCGTTCATTTTTTAGAGTGGATTGTTTCTAAGTGGTGACAGCAAACCTCTGATTTATCCTCAATATGATCCATTCCGTCCTCTTCCCCCTCTTAGTCCTAAACTTGAGGACAAAACTGAAGGAGAGGACAGGAGACAGGAAAGGAAGGACAAGGAAAAACGGGAGGGAGTGGAAGATGAAGTCAAGATCATTTCAAGTCATTCATTTACTAGGGTAAATATTCATATATTCATTTGCTAGGGTAAATATTCATATATTCATTTACTAGGGTAAATATTCATATATTCATTTACTAGGGTAAATATTTATATATTCATTTACTAGGGTAAATATTCATATATTCATTTACTACGGTAAATATTCATATATTCATTTACCAGGGTAATTCATATATTCATTTACTAGGGTAATTCATATGTTCATTTACCAGGGTAATTCATATATTCATTTACTAGGGTGATTTATATATTCGTTTACTAGGGTAATTCATATATTCATTTACCAGGGTAATTCATATATTCATTTACCAGGGTAATTTATATATTCATTTACAAGGGTAATTCATATGTTCATTTACTAGGGTAATTCATATATTCTTTTACTAGGGTAATTCATATGTTCATTTATTAGGGTAATTTATATATTCATTTACTAGGGTAATTCGTATATTCAGTTACTAGGGTAATTCATATATTCATTTACCAGGGTAATTCATATATTCATTTACTAGGGTAATTCATATATTCATTTACTAGGGTAATTTATATATTCATTTACTAGGGTGATTTATATATTCATTTACCAGGGTAATTTATATATTCATTTACCAGGGTAATTCATATATTCATTTACTAGGGTAATTCATATATTCATTTACTAGGGTAATTCATATATTCATTTACTAGGGTAATTCATATATTCATTTACTAGGGTAATTCGTATATTCATTTATTAGGGTAATTCATATATTCATTTACTATGGTAAATATTCATATATTCATTTACTAGGGTAAATATTCATATATTCATTTACTAGGGTAAATATTAATATATTCATTTACCAGGGTAAATATTCATATATTCATTTGTTAGGGTAATTCATATATTCATTTACTAGGGTAATTCATATATTCATTTACTAGGGTAATTTATATATTCATTTAGCAGAGTAAATAATCATATATTCATTGATCAGGGTAAATAATCATATATTCATTTACCAGGGTAAATATTCATGTGCTTTGGTAAATATTCATATATTAATTGATCAGGGTAAATATTCATATATTCATTTACCAGGGTAAATATTCCTCTATTCATATACCAGAGTAAATATTCATGTATTCATTTACTAGGCTAAATATTCATATGCCTTGGTAAATATTCATATACCAGGGTAAATTGAAAAAAGTAAAAATCAGGATCTGAGGAGCCAAAATCAGTTTTGTTTCTGTTCGGATCCGGATGTAGTTTTAATGATGTACTTATACAAATCTATACAATATTAGATTAAAAAGAAATTCCAAGAAAAAGATGATTGCTACGTCTTACTCTGAGAGTTTTATAAAATTCTAGGAAATATCTATTTTCATTTTTAATCTGATGAACACTTTTTTCCAATAAGACGATAAAAAGATTGAATAAAAGAATAAAAATAAATTTCTGTAAAATTCACCCCTTCTGAATGAAATAAAGAATTATCGTGATTTTGTTGTGGATTTTAAATTACAATGATTATTGCGCATGATTATTAGAATTTAAATTAACTATTTTGCAGTTGCTGCAACTAATCAAGTTCTTGAAACAAAGGGAGTGTTCACTAACTTATTCTTAACATTTAAAACTTAAACTTAGATATTTTTAAAGCATACAAACGGATAGATACTATTTTTTCTTTACTTACTTGTATACTTGGAGAGTAGTTGATGTAGCCCCCGCTAGGGGCATTTAGCAACATCTTTTCCACACAGTCTTCTTCTGGAGATCCTGTCATATTCTCAGTTCATCAGTTCATCTCAGAAGAAGATAAATATTGGTCTAGATTTCTTTTAAATATCTTGATATTTTGAGACTCTCTAATTGTGCTGGGTAACTGGTTCCAATCATCAATGACTCTTTGGGTAAAGAAGTTACTTCTGATGGTGGTGTTGCTTCTCTGTTTAGTCAGCCTGGTTCTGTCATCTGATTGTCTTGTGGTTCTCCCTGATACTTGATTAACTCTTTTAAACCAGAATTCATCTCCTTCAACCTCTAAGGTTTTGTAGGTTTGTATCAGATCATATCTAGTTCTCCTTGTTTCGAGGGAGAGAAGTCCTAGTTCTTTGAGTTTTTCAGTATAACCAACTGCTCTCAATCCACTAATCATATTCACAACTTGTATTTGGACATTTTCTATAGACCTAATATCTTGTTGTGAGGTTGGAGCCCAGACTGGAGTAGAAAATTCTAGATGAGGTCTGACATAGGTGGTAAATAATCTCAGAAATACATTCCTGTCTCTAAAGTGAAAGGATCTAGTTAACTGACCTAGGACCATTTTAGCTCTATTAACTGCTACTTCACATTGTCTACTGGGTTTTAAATCTTTATTGATCAACACCCCAATATCTCTCTCCTCCTCAACACTGTTCAGAGTACAGCCACTCATGGTATAATCAAATTCAGGGTTGCCTCTTCCAAAATGCATTATGTTTTTTGTTTTTTTGTTAGTGTCCAAGAAAAGTTCTTAAGATCTCACATGATCCCAAAAGAAGGTTTATTTTAAGTTGAAATTCAAAGATATGTTACTTGTAATATTTCGATTTCAAAATAAAAAAAAATAAAAAAATCGCATAAATTATATATATTTAATGTACGAAGAAAAATGAGTAACATCCAAACTCTAACCTTTAAAAAATGTATGGTCGTAAATTGTCCAGGAAGCTTAATTGGTAATAAGTCACAAGTTTTTATGTTTCCATTCATATATATCTATGTTTAGGATGACTCAGGACTAGGATACTCAGATATCTCCAGGACGGATATTGGAGTCCAGGACTACTCTATTAGATCCAGAGACTACTCCAGTAGATTTAGAGACTACACGGATCGGTCCAGGAACTTCTCGGGACTACAAGACTACCAGGAAAGGTCCAGGTTGGACTACTCCAGCCAGAGGGACAGCGTAGAGTCTGCAGTAGACTACAGGACTACAGGAGTAGAGTATTCAAATCTACCCAGAGACTACTCTAGGAAGGGAAGGGAAGAAGATAACATATCAGGTAGAATAACATGGCAATATTATCAAGATATGACAATATCACAATGTCACAACATGACAATATGACAATATGACTATATGCCTATATGACAATATGACAATATGACGATATATATGACAATATTATGAAGATGTGACAAAATGATAATATGACAATATGATAATATAACAATATTATTGAGATATGACAAAATGATAATATGGCAATTTTAAGAAGATATGCCAATATGACTATATAATAATATGACAATATGACAATATGTCAATATGCAATAATATGACATAATGACAATAAGTCAATATGNTAAAATGTAAACACTGCAGTACAAAACTAGTCTGACTTTAATAGTTCTGTGTGTAAAATGTAAACACTGCAGTACAAAACTAGTCTGACTTTAATAGTTCTGTGTGTAAAATGTAAACACTGCAGTACAAAACTAGTCTGACTTTAATAGTTCTGTGTGTAAAATGTAAACACTGCAGTACAAAACTAGTCTGACTTTAATAGTTCTGTGTGTAAAATGTAAACACTGCAGTACAAAACTAGTCTGACTTTAATAGTTCTGTGTGTAAAATGTAAACACTGCAGTACAAAACTAGTCTGACTTTAATAGTTCTGTGTATAAAATGTAAACACTGCAGTACAAAACTAGTCTCACTTTTGCTTTAATATTTCTGTGTATAAAATGTAAACATTGCAGTACAAAACTAGTCTGACTTTTGCTTTAATATTTCTGTGTGTAAAATGTAAACACTGCAGTACGGCGCCCAGGGAATAAGGATAACGGGGAAGGAGAAAGCCAGTCGCACTGCTTTGCAGACGAGTTTGTTATCACACACGCACACTCTTTTGGTACAGACACACACAACATGACTACAGTCAAGGAAATTGCAGAACAATGTCGTCAATTATAATTAAGCTTGAATAAGGAGTAGTTCATTGTAAACTTTAATAAAATTTTATTCTTTGCATTGCAATTTGGCTTATATTGTTGACTTAAATATATAAATAATATATTATATGTATATTAAACTTATTTTTAAGTAAATAATTAACAATAAACAAATGTACTCTCCTAGACTGTACAAATACCGAGATTCTTGTGTACTGTATATACCTACAGTACACACCTTCAGTTCGTTATTACTTACACACACACTTTTGGTACAGACACACATACATGAAACAAGACACAATATATTTTTCATAATTCTCCTTTTTTTTAGTTGGTTCCGTGGATCATCCTGACCAACCTTCTCATCCAATCCTGGGCGTCCAACCGAAACAAGGATTATCCATCCAATCTGATCCCGCTAAACCAACCAACCAGACCAATCCGGAATCCCTAAAACATGTACAATCTGTGATAGGTATTTTTAGTTTTACAGAGTTTTAGTTTGATAAAAAAATAAGAGAAAACAATCTCATTTTTATAATATATTGGATTTGATTCTTGGCCACAAACCTTAATTTTCTAATCCCTAAATCTTTGCAACCCATTGTCGTAGACCTTAGATATTTCAAACTATGAATTCTGTTGGATCAAATGATTTAAGTTCAAAATATCTAAGGTTTATTCCATCAGGTTGCAAAAATACACGGAGAAGAAAATTTGAGTTTGTTGTAAAGACTCAATTTTTATGAATCTTTGTACTGCAGGAGCTAATTTAAACCCCTTCTGAACCTTCTCTTCCCCCCCCCCCCTTTCATTGCTTGACTGAAATAAGTTTTTCAAAAAAATAAAGATGAGATAAAAATTGCATTTTTATCGATTGAACTCTTTTTGTTGAAAACATTTTTTAGAAACCTTTTTTTTCAATGGGAAATTTTAAACTTTTTTATTTGTCAGCTGAACAGTTTTCCAATGTTCTTCCAACTTTTAATTTTGAATTTTAAATCTGACATTTCCGGAGCAAACTTTTCTAAAGGCCTGTCCAGGAAGAAGAATGAATTTACTTTTAAAACTATTTCTTTAAAATTCCTTCTCACACTTTATGGTAGTGTTAAGGGAACCTGGATGGAACCAAAAACTATGAAGCAAAAAGTCTGAAGTTAAAAATAGCTGTTAAAGGGACTGAGTCTGAAGTTAAAAATAGCTGTTAAAGGGATTGTAGGCGTGATTTCAAGTGACCTTCTATATGTATAAAGGGTTTAAAAGATATATTTGTAAATCGGGAAATTCCCATCTTTGAAAAGAGGGTCACTGTTACAGTTACAGTCCCTTTCAAAGGTCCAGTATGTACGAAAAGTGTCATATGAATAACATAAAACTTTCTTTGTCTGTGCTGTGCTACACAGTTACTTTGTAACCTTCATTTTATATTATATATCGGCACTAAGACTGATTTTTTTAGGTTTAATGTTAAATCTTGATATTTTAGAACCTTTGGCCAAACTGACCAAGGAGCAAGAAATTTTATCTGGTGAACCCGAACCTGAACCCAAATCTGAACCTGAACCTGAATCTAAATCTGAACTTATCATTACTCCTGAACCCGGAGCCAGAGCTGAACCTGAACCTGCATCTCTCCCGTATACAAACTGGAATCAGTGTCCGGGGTTTATCCGACCTAAATCTGGTCAAACCAAAACCAAAGCTGAGCTTAAACAAGTCCCTCTCATCACTACAAACCCTGACGAATCCTTGGTTAAATTCGAGAATATGGAAGAACGACGATGGTCGTTGAACGGACTTGATTTACTCACCGCTGGGATAGATAGATTAGAGGAGAGACGAGTGAGTCAAGAAACCACCCTGGTTAAATCTGATCCCTTGGTAAAACAGGAATCTGGAGAAAACCAGGAAGAGAAGGAGGAAACCTTGAACCTAGCGGAGCAACTTATTAACTTTGCTAGTAGACCATGGACCTATAGCCCAGGACGGGTTCACCGTCACGCTAGCGTAGACTCTATACCTCAGAGGAAGGGTCAGCTTGGTCTTTTATGTGATGTAGCCAGCCAGCAGATACAAATGGACACATTAAGTCCAGGACATTCCAGGTATAGTCTCTTTAATATCCAACCATATCTTTAAGAACAGTTACTTTTAACTAAATTACTAAGTTACATACAGTTAGTCTTGATAAACGTTTGGAATATATTATCTGCATAATTCTCACAAATATTACAGATTTACAAATATTATATTTTTTATCAGTTTTCTGAGTTTCTGAATTCTCCTTCCTCAATCTTTCATCCTTTAAACTTTTCAATTTTTCATTAAACTTCAAGATTGATTTATTAAAAACTGTATTTTATCATGAGATGATGGAGGAATTATTATTATTATTATTATTATTAAACATAAGGCAGAAAATATTTATAATTAAAATCCAAGTTTTGCATCTTTAAAGAAAGTCAGAACCTATTTTTAAAATGATATTTCGATGGTTCTATTTTAGCTAAAGAGCTGGCTGAAATGATTTTAACCAGATGGAATTATCGTGGACTACAATTATCTGTAGGAACTTAATTAAAGAAAAAAAATGCCCGCGCACACAGAAAAATTCAATTTAAACGCGCGGAAATTTTTTATGAAGTAAAAGAAAGTAAAGTGTTTCTTAACAGATTTAGCAGTTTAGGATTGAAACAAACAATTAAAATATTTAAGGTAAAAGGGCGCGCGCGCTATAAATAGGCTTAAATGTGCGTAAAGCTAACTTTTTTTGAGAAAAATCGGACATGCCTAGATCTGTAAATACAGGGTCACTTGAAATTTGAAGGACAGTCCCATTAAGAGAGATATTGGATGTTGTTCACTTCCTATCAATCCAGAGCTTTCATCATGTTTTGTCATTTTCGATCCAACCTGACTTCAGTTTGGTATTTTCCTACAATATTTTACAGATTTTTATTAAAAATGGTTTGATAACAAAAATTCTGGCAAAATATTTAATATTTTTCTTTGTCCAGAGAATTTATCCGTCGCCGGTCCTCTCGGTCCTCAGAGGGACCTGGGTCGAGTCCAGGGAAAGCAGGAACTAGTCCATATAGAGCGGGGTCTAGTCCCTACCGGGCTGGTGTGAGTCCATGCAAATCAGTGGACTTGGACGAAATGGACGCCTGGGAGATATCAATGCGGTTAAATATGGCAGATATTCAGAAGAAATACAGGTTAATATCCAGATATTTTTATTCTACAAAAAAGCCGACATTTTGAATAAATCTGTTGTATCTAACATTTAAAGGGCATTATTCTTATGATGGATTTTTAAAAAAAAATTTCCTTCATGTTTGATGCAGATTTCCATTCCCAATCTTTGAATGCATAATTAAGTTTAAANGGAGAAGGGACTAAACCTAATGCTTGTAGGGAAAAATACCGAGAACTGTTTAAGCTGGAAAGCAGGAGGGAAAGAAGAAAACCAAAACCCAAGAAGACCCATACAGACGCCAAGAACAAGAATACGCGCAGAAAGTCATCAAATTCAAGCCAGAAATCCGCAATTAATACCGAAAATGTTCGAACAAGTATAGAGGATGATCTCAGTGAGAATTCGGAAATACGGGAACCGAGTTCCGAACCTGAACTCACAGCAGACAACAACAATACCGAGTATGACCGATGTTCAGAACCAGGGACTTTGGTTTACAAATCAAACTTCAATGAAACATTTGCAAAATTCAAACAGTCCTATCTCTCAACAAAACACGGGACGGAGAAATCTTTGGCGCCAAAACTTGTTTCCCCCGCGGTAACCAGTTCGGCCATTAAGGTTAAAATCGACCGTCCCAATCCATTTCAAAACCTCATGAAGCTTTCAGTAAATCCAATCAAATCAGAATCCGAATATCCAGTCATAGAGCCAATTTACACGGTGAAATCTGAACCTATAGACATAAAACCGGATATCGATTACTTCCCGGAATACCGGAAGCCGGAAGTAGCCAAAATTTTTAACGTGAATAAGCGCAAGAGCTTGGAGGAGGCGCCGAAAGACATCTATGCGAAGAAGCGACCTAAAATTGAAAAGTTTATTGTCGCTAAAACTGAAACCAAAGCAGAAAAGTATTACACAACTATTTACAGTGATAAAAATGAGGAAAATGAGAAGAAGATGGAAAGAAAGAGATCCAAGGATCGCTGTAGGAAAGATCACAAGAACTGTAAAAAACACAGGAACAAGGAGACAGGACGTAAATATAAAAGTAAAGACAGAGAGCTCAAACAAAGACACAAAGAACATTCAAGGGAAAAGGGAACTCATGAAAGACACTGGAGAGAGGAAAGTAAACATGATAAACCAAGTAAACATGAAAAACAAAGTAAACATGGAAAAAATAAACCAGCATTTAATGTTGAAGATAATCCAGCAGAAGAGGAGGAGAGAAGAAAGATGTACAAGGAGCACAAGAAGGATAAGAAGAGAGAGAAGGAGAGGAAGAAGAAGAGGAAGGAGAAGGAGAAGAAGTTGAAGAGAGTCAAGGTTCGGGAACTAGTCGATGACGAATATATTTCGCAAATCATGGATCGGACCCCTACTCCGTCACAGGGTATCAAGGAGGAACTCCAGGAAAGGAGCACGACTCCTTGTAAGAAGATAAAACAGGAGTTTATGAACAGGATGACCGGACCCTTTCTAGAGATCAAACAGGAGATTAAGGAGGAGGTAGTAGAGGACTGGGAAACCCCTCAAGGTAAAACGATACTTCGGATTAGTTCTTAAATTAATTTCTTTTTATTTAAATTAAAAAATGTTGAAAAAAATTATTTATATAAGGAAAACAATCAAAATTTTAATGGATATTATAGAAATTTGATACACTTTTTAGATACTGTTCATCATATCCAATTTTGATACTAGAGATAGTAAAAGACATTTTTCAAATTGAATACCTCAGAATAAGCCTGCAATCTATGATATAAACTGAATGTACAAACCTTAGTACGTTTTAAAATGTTTTGTTGGGCTTTTATAATTATTGAAATTTAAAAAGTAGAACGATCATACTTTATCTTTCTCTGAATTCAAGAATTTTGTTTCTTTATTCTTCAGTTTAAAATAGATAAATTAAGATTTCTAAATTGTATAGGAGGGGTGAGGATTACACANAAAGTCAGATTAAATAAATTTGGTTTAACATTTCGCGAAATCTGGTTTTTATGTTTTCTTTGGTTCTGGGGTTTCTCAGTTATGATTAATTCAATTAACAGTGAACTAGAATTTTTGGAGAACAATTTTTAGGTTTTCGGATAATTTATAGTTCTAGGATTCAAGGTTTACAGCAATCAATTAATGTTAAATTTATTATTATTATTTAGATAAGATGAGATCATGTGTACTAAGTGAGGACAAGCTGCAGGACGGTCAGCGTATACTGACCAGGATTGGAGGACATTTCCATCCAGGACGAATCACTGAAATATCTCCTCCTGATATATACGGTAGATATATATAAGATCTGTATCTATCTGTTTATCTATCTTTCTATATCTATCTATCTATCTATTTATCTTTCTATTTTTATTTCTTTCTTTCTGCAAATGGACTAATGGACTAGATATTATTATTTAAACCACAAAAAAGCTCAAAATAATTTCTTTTTAATTTAGAAAATAATAACAAATAATCATAAAATTGTAATTAAATTGAACATTCACAATAATTTAACATAATTATAATTTTCTGATCCATCTTTACAATCGTATTGAATTCCTTCTATTTCTNCTTTGAACATTTTCAGTTTTTCTTAAAAACACATTTAGGTTTTAAAATTTTGCAAATGTTATTGCAGATTTGAATTCGCTGGGTCAAGTGCTTTTCAATCCAAAAACGTATCAAATGTTGTAGATTTGTATCACATTAAGAAAAAAAGGGAGGGGGGGGTACATTTGCCCCCCCCCGGGCAGCCAGTCTGTAAACCAGATGTCAGGCTAAATAGGGTTAAATCTATTTAAAAAAAAAAAGTGAATTATGAAAATGAAAAAAGATTATGAATGATGAATAAACTTTTATAACTAACAATTCGTGTTATTTACAATATACATACTATCCTTTGTTATATTCAATACTAGCTGAAGTGCCCGGCGTTGCCCGTGGAATTATGAAAACATTACAGAAAAATAATTTCGAGTTTTGAAAAAAAATTGTCTATGTCTCCCTCGGAGTACCCACGGGCTTCCTAAAAAATCAGGCAATTTGGTTGTTTCGTCTAAAACTAATCCTGATTAAAATAAAATGCTTTGTTCTTTATTCTTTTCAATTTTGTTAAAAGACAGTATTATTTAAAAAATTTAATCCAGAAGTCAGAATAGAAGAAATTCTTGAGAAGCCGTATTAGAATTGAAAAGGCAAAAGTACATGAAGATAAGCTGCACAGAAAACCAGAAAACCAGAAAACCAGAAAACCAGAAAACCAGAAAACTGCTGAACTACTGTGAATTGAAAATATAATTGCTCTTAATCTTAATTCTATATGTTAGCTATAATCATTTACAATCTATAATATCCTTTGAGACATTTTAGAACAAAAAGGGAGACGACATTCATTTCTAGTTTTTCGGTTACCACTGTATAATTCATTCTGTTCTTTTAGATCCTGGAGGTATCCCCTGGACGAGTGAAGAACCTGGAGCCAGGAATGAGAGTATGTGCATACTGGAGCTCCAAATATAATTACCTCCATCCTGGTACGATAGTGGAGAATACCCAGGTACGCACTAAAGTGACTAGATTGACGCGTTTGCCTTTTCTTCCATTTCGTTCGTTCATTGCATTTCCTTAGATTTTTCACAATCGTTCATTTTTCATCTATCGTTAGTATTCCCAGTAAACGATCGTTCAGGAAAATCGTTCGTTCTGTAAAAAAAGAATAGTTTTTTTTTCAAAAATGTTTGGAAAAAACGCCCTTTCTAACGATTTCAAATCGTTCGTTTCTGTTTTTTATTTCTCTGAACCATCCAAGTCGTTCGTCGTCCGTTTTTTATCTGAACGACACCATTGTTCACAAAAAATTTAGGTCGTTCTCATAAATTTCGTTTGTACGCAAAAACTCTGCCCGTCTCTAACCATACAAACGATTCTCTATTGTAAGTGTTACGAGCCAAATATATCCACGGTACCCCTTAAATCCTCTATTTCTGATTATACAGGGTGTCCCACGAAACATGACAATATCAAAGACGACTTGAAAGTCGTCTTTGATATTTGAATTTATTTGTGACATTTAGTATTCATTTATGTATTTTTTCCTATCTAATTATTTGTGTATTTGATCTATATAATAAAACAAGACATTCAAATGTATGTTGCTTATAGCCGGCCAAACGGCTGGACCGATTGGACTGAATTTTTTTGTGGACACTCATGGGAGGCCGGGGGGTGTTATAAGCTAAAAAAAATAAATCGACATGTTTTTTCAACATTTTTTTTTCTTTTTCAAAATTTTAATAAATATCTCAACCATTAAAAATGCTAATTTTAAAAAATTGAAAGTCAAGTTATAAACTTGTGTGAATTCAATTAAGTTGATTAAATATGTTCTAAAACTAGGTTTAAAGTTAATCCATTAAGCATTCTTAAATTTTCAATCTGGCTTTCTTTCAAATGCGTAGTTATTTTTTTTAACAAAATTTTAACTTTACTTGTTGTTGAACATTTTAAGATTAGTTATTATTTCTACCAAGTTTAAAACTAAGTTTTTCATCGTAAAAAATGATGATGGTTTCAAATAAGATATTATTGAAGATGATGTTATGTCAAAATATTTTTCATCTTATGTAATTTAATCAAAAACTGTCTGATCTGACTTTAATGTTATCGCCTAAAGATCGTTATAATCAACATTTATAAAACATTTAATGATAAATATTAATTAATCTTTAAAGCAAAATAAAATGTGTAAAGTAAAATGACGAGGAAAAAAATTAACTGTGAAATCCTTCAATTAAATACAATTTTAAAACTTACACGGGAAAATATTAAAACAAACAAAAAAGAATTTCTATTTTCTCTCAAAATTAATGTTTTTTTAAGAGTGATAAAATCGCAAAATTGTATGTGCTTAATTCCCGTAGTGTTGCACTGCCTTGAATCGATTTAAATAAAAAACTACAAAATTTCTTTTCAAACTTGCATCAGAAAAATATATTATATTGAAGCGTTTTTTTATTTTAGGGCTTGGATCTACCCTCAGACTACTTGGTGATTGAACTTGATGATGGTGACAGTAGAGACTTTCATGTTGATAGTATCCGGTACCTACCCCCTGGATATCCTTTAGTAGGTGGGTAGTATACAATATATACATACATATATATAGTGATAGTATCCGGTACCTACCCCCTGGATATCCTATAGTAGGTGGGTAGTATACAGTATATATACATAGATAGTATCCGGTACCTACCCCCTGGATATCCTTTAGTAGGTGGGTAGTATAAAATATATACTTATATAGATAGTATCCGGTACCAACCCCCTGGATATCCTGTAGTAGGTGGGTAGTATAAAGTATATTTATATAGATAGTATCCGGTACCTACCCCCTGGATATCCTTTAGTAGGTGGGTAGTATACAATATATATATATAGATAGTATCCGGTACCTACCCCCTGGATATCCTATAGTAGATGGGTAGTATACAGTATATACATATATAGATAGTATATAGACTTTCATTTTTATATTTTCATTTGTATATTTTCAGTTGGTGAGACGGATCCTATGGAGGGTTTATCCCAGATACGGCGAAGAAGAATATCAAGTATCAACCTCGGGTCTCCGAAGAAGAAGAAGAAAAGTAAGAAGGAAGATGAGAAAGATGAGAAAGCGGAGAAGAAGGAGAGAAAGTTGGAGAAAAAAGAATTAAAACCCAAAGAATGGAGAACGGAAATGACTCCTAGTCTCAAAATTAAAATCCGATCTCCGGAATCTCACAAACAAGAGTCAATCAGCGAGGATGGACCCCCCGTGCTAACCCCAGAAGTAACACGACCTCTCAATCCAAGCGGAGAAAACCTTTGTCCTCAGCTAGAAAAACTTGAACTACCTGGGACCTCGGGAACCTCGAGGCTGCGAGACGAAGACGAGGATTCAGCATTTGAATCGAATGGACGGAACGAGGACGATTTGGAGGATGATTTAGAGTCTGAAGATCTAAAGGTAAAAATAAACAATGATATTATGTCAATTACAGCCGGATAATTTATCTGTTGGAATTTTAAATGTTTTTTACTTCAATTTTTTACCGAACAAGACGTTTTTAATCCATAAAAAAAAACATTACATCAGAATTCAAAGTGGTAATACAATGAGAAACTTATTGTCTCTTTCTGTCCTCAAAATATAATTTCTCCTAATATCCTTCATCATATATATCTGCTAGCTGCAGAAATCACTTATAGCCAAAACCGCAATAGAAAATTTTAGAACAGAAAACAAGAATAACTCAATCATCTTTGCTAAGACAATGGGTAGCGCTGTGAATCCGATTAAAGTTACTTGAAATTACACGAATATTTACTGTAAAAATGTTTATATTTCAGTCGATCTACAGACAACGAATGCCGAGTGCAGACAAGAGTAAAATTCGAGCTTTTCTTCCTCCCCAGCATCTTCTCTGGGAGTGGGGAGGAGAAGGGACTAAACCTAAGTAAGCTCAACTCAACTCTCAACTTCAACTTTATAATCCCTAATCCCTATATCTTTGCAACCTGATAGTGTAAACATTTGAAAAAACAGACTTAGATCTAACAGAATTCAAAGTTTGAAATATTAAAGGTCTGCGAAATCGGGTTGCAAAGGGATTACAAAATAAGATTTTTGGGGAAAACTCCGTCACTCCTTCCTTACATTTATTTTGAAAGGAAAATTGTAAGAGCTGAAAAAATTTTCCGTTCACTGAGTTTTCAAATATTTGGTTTTATTTTGAAACTAAAGTTGCAATAATAGAAATAAAACTTTCTGCTAAAAGTTTCTGCTAAGTCTGAATTCATTTCATAATTTCATTATTTTTTTTTTGTATTTCTCCAAATCTAATCTAAAATTAAGCTTTTCTTTTGAAAGTCCTTTGATAGAATAATCACTGAGCTTTCAGGGCGCTTCACGCCGCCTTCTATTTCAATTGAACATTTTCTTTTTTGATACATTGTAAAAAAGTGTACATAAAAACCTTTTGAGTAAATTGTACACAGACAGTGTACATAGAAACCTTTTGAGTAAATTGTACACTGCACAGTGTACATAGAAACCTTTTGATTAAATTGTACACAGTACAGTGTACATAGAAACCTTTTGAGTAAATTGTACACTGCACAGTGTACACAGAAACCTTTTGAGAAAATTGTACACAGTACAGTGTACACAGAAACCTTTTGAGTAAATTGTACACTGCATATTGTACACAGAAACCTTTTGAGTAAATTGCACACTGCACAGTGTACACAGAAACCTTTTGAGTAAATTGTTCACTGCACAGTGTACATAGAAACCTTTTGAGTAAATAGTACTTCAATCTCCTTGTGACACTATTTATTTTAGAAACAAGACAAGGAAAGTTTTCCATGATGAAATAGTTCGTGGAGAAGAAAGAATCAAAGTTGGAGAGTCTGCTGTCTTTCTTTCCACATCTCGTCCAGATAGGTCAGTTTTTTCTTTATATACCCCCTTTTCTAATAGGTATTTTTTCCTTTATATACCCCCTTTTATAATAGGTATTTTTTTCTTTATATACCCCCTTTTCTAATAGGTATTTTTTTCTTTATATACCCCCTTTTCTAATAGGTATTTTTCTTTATTTACCCCCTTTTTTGATAGGTATATTTTTAAATATACCCTCTTTTCTAATAGGTATTTTTTTCATTATATAACCCCTTTTTTACAAGGTCGGTTCCCCTTTCCCCCATTACTATGTTATCCCCCCCCCCTTTTTCATGATTAGAATTTATTTCCGAAATTTGTTCTTTTTTAGTAAAAAGAATGAATAACTGGATATATTATTCATGATTTTTCAAGTTGTGTTCCACGAGTTTTCAGAATTTCCCAATAATTTTATTTTATATTTTATATTTTATATTTATTTAGACCGTATATTGGTCAGCTGGAAAGTATGTGGGAAACCTGGAGTGGAAACATGAAGGTAATTTTATAAAATCTTTTTTCTGAAAGTGACTGTAGACGTAATTTCAAGTGCCCCTCCAGTTTTAGAGTGGCATTGCCGATTCACAACATCCCTTTTCTACACTACAGTTCACGCTTTAGCATCCCAGCACTAAATGTTCAGCTGGAAAAGGAAATGGAAATTAGATTTTATTTTAAGAAACTGTCTTCGTAATTTTAAATTACTCCCATTTGAAAGAAGAAGAAAATGTGCATGCCTGATTCACAACAGTGCTATTTAAATCTTAATCTGATCAATAAAGTGGAAGATAACGTCGTTTTTCTAGATTGAATAGTGTCTATAAGGTCACTTTTGCAGAGAAACCGCAAATGAAAATAACAAAATTTCAAAAAGGAGAACATGGATATACAATTAGTACTTGATCAGACAATGATTTTAAGGGTACCGTTGTGAATCAGACATGTCACTTTATCAGTGGAGGGTCACTTGAAATTACTTGAACAGTCCCTTTAATATCTAATATATGCAAGTGTTCAGATTTCAATTTTCTCGTCTTGAAGCGGAATAACAAGATTTAATATTTAACTTTGCATTTTCTAAGCTGTTCAAACATTTCTAAAGGGAGGCTGAGATTTTGGTCTCAATGTTCTGAAAAGATTTGTTTTACATTTTGTGTGTGTGTGGGTTTTTAAAAGGTTTTTATCCCAGTCAATGTCATCCATATTTAATATTTCAAATATTGGAGAAAATTTAAAGGTTATTCTTAGCTTATATCACAACAACTTAAAGGTATTGTTCACGTATTTTAAAGTAAACTTAATACTCCAATATTTAAATTTAAAAAATTTTAAATTTACATAAAATGGCCTTTTCCTAATGTTATTGCATTTACTATTCTTCTGATCAGAAACATTTTTCAAGATCAAGTTAGTCGACACTAGTATCCTAAAGTGAATGTTTTTAAATCTATATAATAAAACAAGACATTCGTATATATATAAATGTTGCTTTTTTCCGGCCAAACGGCTGGACCGATTGGGCTGAAATTCAACATTTTTTATTTCAATTTTCTTTTTCCACGGGCAACGCCGGCCTCTTCAGCTTGTATTTTAATAATCAAGGAAAACATTCGTTGATTTGTTCTCAATTATGATTATATTCTCAATGGAATGTGTCGTTTTCCTCAATCTAGTTTCACTTAATTTCAATCTTTCTTAGTTTCTCTTCCTTTTAATGCTATTTTCTCTGAGTCACAAACTCAATGAATCCATACTTATACTAAGTTCTTTTTTATCTTCACTTTTCTTAATCATAGTTTCTCTCATTTTAGTTTTTTTTGGTCTTGGTTTTAGTTTCCTTTGATCTTAGATTCCAGTTTCTGCTACTTTAGGTTCATGTTCCTTTGATCTTAGATTCTAGTTTCTGCTACTTTAGGTTCATGTTCCTTTGATCTTAGATTCTAGTTTCTGCTACTTTAGGTTCATGTTCCTTTGATCTTAGATTCTAGTTTCTGCTACTTTAGGTTCATGTTCTTTTGATCTTAGATTCTAGTTTCTGCTACTTTAGGTTCATGTTCGTTGGTTTTACCACGCTGAAGAGACTGTTGGAACCGGTGAGGGTGGAAGACGAGTTCAAGATTTAAACCATCCGGTATTTAAAATATTTACATTTTTCTTTATTATTGAGAAATAATTTAGTTCAAATAAACAAGATTATTATAATGTTTTCTTTAGGGAGCCCTTTTTGAGTCGTGTCACTTCGACGAGAATGACATTCAGACGATATCCCACAAGTGCGACGTCGTCGGGTTTGCGGAGTTTCTTGAGAGGCTGCGAGAGACCCCGTCCCTGAAGGAGAGTATCTACGAGAACAACGACCTCTACTATTTGGCGGGAAACTACGATCCTGTAGTCGGGACCCTCGCTTTCAAGCCTGGAGTATTCGACTAAAATCCTGGAAATGGATTTTTCAGAATGGCGGACGGGAGGCAAAATAGAGGAATCAATGCACCAATATTTATTCAGATATATTTAAACACATTCAATATTTATTCCCATGACGAAAAACGGAGTCAAGTATTTACGTTGTGTGAACGACCTACGTGTTTGCTAATATCGGTGTCCAATTTTATCTTGTAACACAATTTTAAAAATATAACAAAATTTAAGATAAAAATACAATACAAGAGTCCGAAGTCACAATATTTTACATTTTGTTTCATGTAGATGTTTAAAAATATGCTTTAAAAAATAAGAAAAAAATCACATGTTAAAAGGCCTGAATGTAAGTATTGATATCAATCTAAGTGTATTATGAAAAACCGGAACTGTTCTGTATTAGGGGGCCTTGAAAAAAAGTGTTCTTACAAATATTATAAATATGAACCCAATTTTACAAATTTTTCAAACAAAAAACACTTATGGATTAATTATGGAACACATTTTTTTAAGCGCGTCCACTGTCGAGATGAAACCTGAACTCCATATTTCTTGAATCTCTTTCCATTTTGTAAATAATTTTTTCTTGTGATTTAAAACATAAACTTTAAATTATATTCGGTCATATTTTTTAAGAAAAAACTGTAAAAAAAAATGGAACCAGGATATTGGCATTATTTTTTGTAAAATCATCGATCTATTTTTTCACAAATTATTCGCATTTTTTATATTTTGCAATGCAAGAATATCTGGAAGAATTCTATCACAAGAACAGGTTGGACAATATAGTCCTTTAATTCATGTCAATTTTGATTGAAAGTCCTGATATTTAACGTACAGCTAAATGACAATCCAAACTAAGCCAGGTCGTTCAAAAATTTAATTTCATTTCTTAATTACCCCCGTAATAATTCTCATTTTACTAGTCAACAAATGTCTAGCACAGAATTAGGGAAAAATGCATTTATTTTGTTAAATAATAAATTCATTATTTTTTTTCCTATGATATTTTTTGGTCAATTATATGTTAGTTTGGTTTGGTATGGTATGGTTTGGTTTGTCTGCTAGCTGTGTATATATGTACCTGTGCCACGTATTGTGCAGCAACCTTCACAATATATTTATTCATAAATATATATTAAATATATACAATATACATATAATATTCAGTCTGTTATTATTATTTTTTAATGAAAGGAGAGTCTCAGCTTAAAAGTATTTGTTCAATCTTTTACTTAAAGTTGTGACTTGAAGCGTAATTTCAAGTGACCCATGGATTGCAATTATTTCATGAAGGTATACTTGAAAATACGGGTACTGTCCCTTTAAGAAATGTTGAGAAATTTGCATTTTGAAATTGATTTATAGGGTTACTCACAAATTGAATGAGAGAGAGATTGACGATGATAAGGCTCTATGTAGACATTTGATGGCATTTCTGCCCCACTGACTACAAGCTGTTATGGACAAAGAAGGCCGTCAAATCCAGAAGGAAGACTACTAAAAGTTTCCAAGTTTTATATATATGTTACCAGTAAAATATATCCAATAAAACTGTTTGAATCATGATGCATTAAACAATTAGAGAAGAATTTGTATTATGTGTGGTTTTTTTAGGTTCACCCTTTAGTTATCACTGTATGTAAACTGTACAGTATTTTTATACGGCCAACTCCAATTTGATCCCCAGTCATCGTTTGAGTCCAGGGGTGGGGGAGGGGAGGTCTCATAAATAAAAGTTCCTTAAGTGGACATTTAGTTACTTTAGCACTGTTTTCTTCGTTTTATTATCATCATTTTATTTCAAAATTAATTTATTTATTGATGAAGTAACAATAACAAAACATAAGATACTATTAATATAAAACTATAATACTATTGCGAAATATTCGCTACTAGCAATAAATAATATATATTCCCAACTAAACTACCACTTCATCATATATAAGGTACAGAAATCATCAACTTACAACTATAACAATTGAACCTCAAGGTTCAATTCGATTATAAACCTTAAAAAAATATATTTAAAAAAAATTAATTTACTCAGAAATGGTAAATTAATAGTTTTAATTTCTAGAAATGAAAATTCTTCCGTAATAACATTTATAAACCAAAAAATGAATTATACTCAACAATGTTATAGAATGAAATCCGTCCGTTCCTCTATATCAAGAGTTTTTTCCCTTAACCTAAACAATGCCGAGGAGAAAATATGAAAAGTTTGGAGAAATTAAAGGAAAATTATCAACTTTCCATAACAAGTCTTGGTTAGTTTTATACTACAGGGTGTATATATCGTCTTTGTTCCAATCGGGATTCTTTCGTAAACATGATTTTACAGTATTACAGTTAAAACATTTACACGGTGGTCTACCATTTTTCCACTTTCAAAATTGACGGAGATATTAGGAAAGGAATTGAGTTTTTGCCACAAACCCCAATTTTATAATACCTATATCTCAACAACCAGTTGATGTATAACTTTCATATTTCAAACTTACATTGTTTGGTCCACCCGAGTTCATAGTTTGAAATATCTACGGTCTACGACATTTGGTTTTATAGAAATTGAGATTTAAAAATCCGAGTTTGTGGCAAAGACTCATTTCCTTTGTCCAGATTTCAGTTAATTAAAAATCAACAAAACTGTCCAAATCTCCGTACATTTTGAACATACAAAGAAGGTAGACCACAGTTTGAATAGCACATTAGACGTTTTTATCAAGGACGATATTCAAGTCGATATTTCAATTCCCATGTTTATTGGGACACCCTGTACTTGAAAAACAGATGGAAAATGTATCTACTAGAACCCTTTCCTCTGTTTTGCTACAATGATATTTCATGAACATAGTACATTTAAGGTGTTAAATAGTTTGGTACATGGTATTTTATGGACTAGTACATTTATGGTGTTTAATAGTGTGGTACATGGTATTTCATGGACCAGTACATTTAAGGTGTTTAATAGTGTGGTACATGGTATTTTATGAACATAGTACATTTAAGGTGATAAATAGTGTGGTACATGGTATTTCATAGACCAGTACATTTATGGTGTTTAATATTGTGGTACATGGTATTTCTTGGACTAGCACATTTAAATGTTAAGTGTTAAATGTTTCATGAAGTAGAAAACCGTATTTCATAGCTTTGAAATGCATGATATTTCATAAACTAGTAAACCGTATTTCATAGCTTTGAAATGCGATATTTCATAAACTAGTAAACAGTAATTCATAGCAATATGCATGATATTTCATAAACTAGTAAACCGTATTTCATAGCTTTGAAATCCATGCTATTTCATAAACTAGTAAACCGTATTTCATAGCTTAGTTATGAATGATATTTCATAAACTAGTAAACCGTATTTCATAGCTTAGTTATGCATGATATTTCATGAACACATTTAAGGTATTTACTAGTGTGGTGCATATTCAATGAACTAGTAGATGATATAACTCGTAGCGGTACACTTTGTCTTGGTACACTTTACTTTATCGTAGAAGTACATGGCATATTTACAGACTAGTACATACAGTCTTACAGTTTAAAAAGCAAGAAAAGTCGTCTCCATGCTTTTTTGTGATTAAAAGACTGGATAGTTTAATGTTTCACTGTCACTGTTATATATCACATGTTATTTGGTAATATCCTGACTCACTTCAAGTGACTTGATAACTTAAAGTGATTGGATCTTTAAAAAGACCTAATTGCATAATTATCTTGAAAACAACCTGAACAAATGATATTTGTGTTGAAGTCAGAACAAAAAAGTTTATCAACGAATAAAACTCCCATTTTTGGGAGATTTTCTTTGTCTTTGATTCACATTTTTCTTGATTTTTTTCTTCACTTACACAGCTTGTTTAATTGTTCAATGTCGACTAGTTTATTCATTTTTAAATAGCTAACTTGTTTATTTGTTAACTTTAGACTAGCTAATTCATTGGCTTGGCAACTTTATGACTTTTTAACTTCTAAAGCTTACTATCTAATCTATGCCTCTTGTTTTCTTGTTGACTAGATTTTAACCTTGAGTTCACTATAGTTTAGACTCGACCCAGTCTAAAAGTTTATCAACATATGATGACAATTTTGCCAAGTAACCTTTTCACGAATGTGTAGAATAAAACTTGAACCATAGCCCATTAAACCTGAGCATAAAAACGTTAACTTAAAAACGTCCTTCTCCCCCCCCCCCCCAACTTTCTACGATTTTTCTTGTTTTCTCCTCCACAGCCTTTTTTAGAGACGTATAAAGAGGAGGGGGGGGGGAGCTTTGGGGACTGAGCCCCTCACCCCTCTTGACAAATTCTTGAATACATCGATCCCTTGCGCCTTTCCTACCCATTGCCTTTCTTCCTTTCTTTCTATTTTTGTTCACCCCTTCCTATAATTAAATTTCCTATCCATTGCATTTCTTCCTTTCTATCTATTTTTGTTTACCCCTTCCTATTACCTTTCCAACCCATTGCCTTTCTTCCTTTCTTTCTATTTTTGTTCAACCCTTCCTATAACCTTTCCTACACGCTTTCTGCCATCAACCTTTCTCTAATTTCCCCCATCATCTTATTATTATTATTGTTATTATCATCTCATTTTCCCTCTTGCCTTTTCTCTATTTCTTACACTTCTTATGTTTTTGTTTCATAAACTAAAAAACATTATTGCTTGATTAAATCTTAAATTTACATGTTGATAAATGCCTATATAATTCGATATATTTGTGTAGACCCCAGGTAGCTTAGCTCGTGCACAGGCTATACCCCAGCTAACCAGGCCGATCAGAGTACCCTTACCATCCTAAACAAATAAACAGGTTACAGGGAACCAGAAAACACAGGAATTATCCTCGTCATCTTTTAGCTTTTGTCACTACATTTTATGTAAATTGAAACTAAACTATTTCTTTTAAAAGTGCCCTGAACATTCTTATAATATATCAGTAGCAACAATTTACAATTACAAATCCTGTTACGTGGGTAAGTACTAAAGGTCTCCTTGTTACCTGGGTAAGTACTAAAGGTCTCNAAGCAATAAATGTAACAATAGCAATAATTGCAACAATAAGAAGAAATGTAATGAAAGCAATAAATGTAACAATAACAATGATTGGTTACCAACAATACTTTCGTCATCGTTCTAACTTGTATTTAGGATTTTTAATTATTAATTGTAGACGATTATTGGTTTGATTTCTAGTATATAAGAAGTTTTTCCATACAAAGTATAAATTAATACTTATTCAGATATGATTATAAATATCTATGACTAGGCTGACCCAATGAACCCTCCAATAAAAAGGTGCAGTTATCAGAGGCGTATTCAGGGGAGGGGGCTATGGAGAATGAACCCTCTCCTTGACAACTGTCTCTACCTCCCTCTGGATACCCAGCACAGATAAACTCCTTTTCATAGATCTTCTCCCTCCTAGATAGATAGATAGATAGTTAGTAACAACAACAACAATAACAATAACAATAATAGCAATAACAAAGCAATAATAACAATAACAATAACAATAATAATAATAACAATGACAANGATATATATTCTAACCTGTAGTTTACTGGGAGTAGTTGATTGTCCATGAGCTGTTCTCCCCCAACCAACCACAGTTGCTTTACTACCAACAAATTTCTTATTCTTTTCAGGTAAACAAACCTAAATATCATTCCTTTCAGGTAAACAAACCTAAATATTATTTTCAGGTAAACAAACCTAGATATTATTCTTTCCAGGTAAACAAATCTAGATATTATTTCCAGGTAAACAAACCTAGATATTATTATTTCCAGGTAAACAAACCTAGATATTATTTTCAGGTAAACAAACCTAGATATTATTCTTTTCAGGTAAACAAACCTAGATATTATTCTTTCCAGGTAAACAAACCTAAATATCATTCCTTTCAGGTAAACAAACCTAAATATTATTCTTTCTAGGTAAACAAACCTAAATATTATTCTTTTCAGGTAAACAAACCTAAATATTATTCTTTCCAGGTAAACAAACCTAAATATTATTCTTTCCAGGTAAACAAACCTAGATATTATTCTTTCTAGGTAAACAAACCTAAATATTATTCTTTTCAGGTAAAAAAACCTAAATATTATTCTTTCCAGGTAAACAAACCTAAATATTATTCTTTTCAGGTAAACAAACCTAAATATTATTCATTCCAGGTAAACAAACCTAAATATTATTCTTTCCAGGTAAGCAAACCTAAATATTATTCTTTCCAGGTAAACAAACCTAAATATTATTCTTTCCAGGTAAACAAATCTAAAAATTATTCTTTCCAGGTAAAAAAACATAGATATTATTCTTCGATAAACAATATTCTACATTAAATAATTTTCTCTGGTTAAACAATATTATCCAGTAATTAATATTTTCCAGTAAACAATATTCTCCGGTAAACAATATTCTCTGGTAAACAATATTCTCTGGTAAACAATATTCTCCGGTAAACAATATTATCCTGTAAACAATATTCTCCGGTAAACAATATTCTCTGGTAAACAATATTCTCTGGTAAACAATATTCTCTGATAAACAATATTCTCCGGTAAACAATATTATCCTGTAAACAATATTCTCTGGTAAACAATATATTCTGGTTACATTAAAACAATGCATTTAATCTCTATTTTCTTTTACATTTTGTTAGGGAGGTTTTAAACAGAAGTATGAGTTTATCATTAACTTACCGGTACAATATGTTGTTTGAAAACCACCTCTTTGTTCAGTTTGATGAGAGCTATATCGTTCTCAAATGTTCCAGGATTATAATCAGGATGTATCTCTTTACTCTCAATACTAAATAGAGTATCATTATTATTGTTGTAATTTTCAATCTTTTAGGATAATAATTGGTGGCATAGATTAATAAAAAAACGTAGGCTTCTGCCTTAGGGTTAATGTGAACGAAAAACTCCAAAATCTTGAAAAGACGACATCTAGTGTTATATCCGTGTTGTTATCAATCTATCATTGATGACTTACTTTGCTGACACACAATCATTCTTTGTTTAATGAAAGATTCAAATATTTTTTTTATAATATTTTTGCAACCTGCGGGCGTAAAGCTTCAATAGTTAAAACTTTAAAATCAGAGTTTGTGGCAATGACTCAATGATATTATTCTAATTTGGTTTCATTTAATATTAAGACTTATTTTAACCGTTTTATCATTTCTGGCAGATAAAGAGGGGGTTTAATCCCCCCCCCCCCAACATTTAAGCCCCAACCAATATTTAATCTCCCCCCCCCCCTCAACATTCAACCCACCCTTCACCCTCAATATCTTTCATCCCCCCCCCCCCCCCCCATTCCTGTTTCAAGATCTATAGTTTCTGATTCAACCGAAGTGTAACATGAATAACAATGCTATATATATACACATTACACAAACCTAGAGAACTATGACGTTATCTCAAGTAACCTAGAGAACTATGACATTATCTCAAGTAACCTAGAGAACTATGACGTTATCTCAAGTAACCTTCCATGTATAGAGTGGAATGTCTGAGTCACAACCGTACCCTATAAACCTTTTTCTTATCAAGGATTAATGAGATATTATTATCTTGCTGAACATTTATAAATTATTATCTGTAAATATGACTTACGCATTTATGGTTCAGAAACAAGGAAGCGAACAGAATTTAACACTTTTTAAATATAAAAACTGACGATATATTCCTTGTGTCTGAGACAGATGTTTAAAAGGTACTGTCGAGAATCGGACCTGATAACTCATGGAGGGTCCCTTGAAAGTACGTTTACAATTCCTTCCTTGCTTACATTAGTAAATGTTTATGCCTACTGGGTGTCCCAAAATATTTGCAGTGTCCGGAAAATATTCCAAATGTTCATTTTTTAACACACTATGTAGTTAACTACGGAGCTAGGTTGTCATTTTGAGGGTTTGAAGGTTTTTTTTTCATGCTTGTCATGTTTTTACATCCAGATTATATTGTACACCCTCTGTAAGTACTGTGCTATGCATACATATTTACAAATAGTACAATGCAATGGATTTAACTAAATATTGATCCTATTCAACTTTCTAATATCACCCCCCCCCCTTCCCTTNTATTTAATAATTTAGATAGTCTCTCGCTTTGCTCGCGCACATTCCATTCTCCCAGTCTAACCTAAAATATTTAATTGTTCAGAGGATAGCACAGGCAGAGAGTTTTGGGGACATGGCGAACTGCAGTTCTTATATTGTAACCTGCTTTAGAACAGCCTCAGGTCAATGCTTTATGTTGAAAAAATAGCCCCTTAAAGGGAGTGGCCTGCAATGTATGGTAGTCATGAACTGAGTCGTATTGTGGAGAAATTTTTTAGGATTCATTTGAGACATATAAAACGTTTTAATGATGTATAATTACTGAGTTTGAGCGCAAAGTTGACGTTCTAAATCATTCATTTGTGTCGTTACGCTTAGAGAATCGATTTTGTATTTTTTAATAACGACGACGAAAAATGTAGTAAAAATTCTACCTATTAACTAATTAGTTGTTTAGGAACATATTCCTCAATTGAAATTTTCTCAATAATTCAATGTTAGAATCAATTATCTATTTTTCATTGTATTGAATTTCTTATTCTTTATGAATTTGTTCGCAGATTTTTTCAAATTTTTCAATTTGTCATTTCAAATTTTCAAAAATTCCAGGAAATCTACAGAAAATGTTTGCGAATGAAGAGACATTACAGAAACCATTAACTGAATAAGATGCCTTATTTTCGATGATAATATGTAAATTTTTCTTTTCTTAACCTGTTCCCAAACAACCAATTAGTTTACTGTAGAATTTTTACTACATTTTTCGTAGTCGTTATTTAATAAAAAAAAATCGAATCTCAAAATGTAACCACCCAAATGGATGATTTTGAAATTATAATTTGCGCTCAAACTCAGTAATTATACATCAGTAGAACGTTTTATATGTCTCAAATGAATCCTAAAAAATTGCCACTACATTCTCAGTTCAACTACCATACATTGCCGGTCACTCCCTTTAAAATAAAAACATCAACTTTACCTTCATGCTATCTATAGGTGTAGAATATACACAGTGAGCTGCAGTCATAATAAACCTAGAAATATAGAATGTTAGAAAAATTTACCCAATTATTTTATTATGTCAAAATTTTTAAATATTTGTTAACTGTGAGTACTCCTTAAATTCTCAAGTTTCTTGGGAAATCCTGCAAATCATGAATGACGATCAAATAATATTAAATATCTACAAATATGCAGATATTAACATCAACAATATCTTAAATATTAAAATATTTACGAAAAATGGAAATTCTAATCCATACTTCGATTAAAAGTAGAAAGATAGTGCTCCGAGATCCAAAGGTTTCAAGTTCTCACTCAAAAATCGAGAATTTTCTCAATTATTAAAAATAATTGCTTTATAGTTCCAAAATGTAAATGTCTGGGGCAGAAATAAATGCTAAGTGATCAGAGGCAAATGCGTTGTGACACCCAGTCCTGAAAATGGTTCTCAGTACCTAACGCAAAATAAGCATCAAACGATTCATAAAGCATAATATATGATACTTTTCAAAGTTGTAGAATCATATCCTTGAAGTTGAAAATCTTTCCAATCATTCAACTTTAGGATTTCCACAAGACAAGCAAGAAAATTGCCAAGATAAGATTTAAAGTTTTAAGGGCCCTCAGTTCAGTGCTCTGTCACGTGACCGCCAAATAAAGCAGTCACTTGACCATTTCACAACAATTAGGAAGTCACGTGCCCGATTCACAACAAAAAAGCAGTCACATGCCAGATTCACAACAATAAAGCAGTCACGTGCCTGATTCACAACAATAACCCTTAAACGTTTGTCTGAGAAAAATGTATGAATTAGTCTTGTTTTCTCTCTAAAAATTTATAATTTCAAATTGTTTGTAAAAAAATAACTGAGTGACATGGGAATTGTGAATTTATGCAAAAAAAATAACAGATCGTGACATGCAGATTTTGGATTTGTGCCAAAAAATACAGAATGCAACACTTTTTTTAGATAGAAAACAACGATATCTTTCTCACTATTACTCAGATAACGGTTAAAGGGTTACCGTTTTGGGATCGGGCATGCCACTCTTTAATGAAGGGGTGTCACTTTAAATTACTTTAACAGTCCCTTTTAAAAATTGGAAAACGGCAAAACCTGGGCCTTCCATCTTAAATAGAAAAATTAATCTATTGTAAGTTGATAAATCATTTGTAAAAAGTTATAAAATACCTTTCATTGATAAGTGCCCCGCCACAGCTGATCCGTTTACTGAGAAAGCTCTGTTTGATGAGTGCTGCCATCCAGGGGTGAGTTGAGAACTTAGCATCATGTCCTCCCACTATCCTAGCCTGACCCTCGGAACCGTAGATCTAAACAGAACTTGTTGAAATTGGGGGGACAGTACACAGATATTTCGGAGACAGACAGTACACAGACATTTATGGGGACAGACAGTACACAGACATTTATGGGAACAGACAGTGCACAGACATTTATGGGAACAGACAGTGCACAGACATTTATGGGAACAGACAGTGCACAGGCATTTCGGGGATAGACAGTACACAGACATTTATGGGGACAGACAGTGCACAGACATTTCGGGGACAGTAGAAAGACATTTGGAGGACAGAACATAGACACTTCGAGGACAGTACACAGACATTTCAGAGACAGGGCACAGACATTTCGGGGACAGTACACAGACATTTCAGAGACAGTACACAGCCATTTGGGGGACAGTATACACTGACATTTGGGGGACAGTTCACTCACATTTAGGGGACGGTAGACATTGACATTTGGGGACAGTACGCAGACTTTTGGGACATAGAACAGAATTTTGGGGCCTACAAAACAGTCTTAATTTACTTAGAAAGTATTTTTGGGACATAAAATAGATTTATGGGACAAGAACTGGAATTTCGGGGACAGTACACAGACGTTTGGGACATAAAACAGATTTTATGGACATAAAATAGAATTTCTGGGATATTGGGGAATTAAAATAGATTTTTTAAACTTAAAATAGATTTTGAGGACAGTAGGGGGAGATAAGATAAATAATAGGGACTTGAAATAGGTGTAACGGTCAACGGACATATAGATTTTAGAAACTCAAAAATAGATTTTGGGGACAAATAAAGAACAGATTTTTGTGACAAAACACAGATTTCGAGGACCTAACAGTTTTTTTTAATGGTCGTTTTAAAAACAATCGTTCTTCAAAATGATCGTTTTTATAAAGCTCGTTGTTTCGTTAACGATCGTTAGCAAAGACCCTTCGTTAACGATCGTTAACGATGACCCTTCATTAACGATCGCTAACGACGACCCTTTGTTAATGATCGCTAACGACGACCCTTCGTTAACGATCGTTAACGAAGAGAGAAGGAGAGAGGAAACGGACCTGAAGGGCATCAGTACTTATCATTGAGTAGTTTTAAAGAAAATATCAAGAAGTTTTAGCTCCCCCACAACTTTTTAACTATGTGTAAGACAACATTAAATAAAGTTGCATGTAATTTTTTCTCAAAAACTATCGCTTTTTCAAAAAACTATCGTTTTTCGAAAACTTTCGTTTTTATAAAGTTCGTCGTATCGTTAGCGATTGTTAACAATCAAAATGGTCGCTGATTGTTTTTTTTTAAGTTCAAAACGAGTGGGTCGTTTTTAAAAACGCATTTTTTCCGAAAACGAAACACTCGTTTTTGAAAACGATCGAAAAACGATTCGAGGACATTCTGAGGGTCCAATGAAGAAAACCTAAAGCAGAAACGGGACAGTAATAAGGAAATTATTTTAAATCAAACACATTCATTTCTGATTTTTCACAAAGGAGATGGGGCAGGAGGGGGGAGGGGCAAAGAGCCTGAAGAATGAAGGAGGTTTAGTATATAACCTTGAATCAATGGTCCATGATAACCGTACACCTACACTATATAATACTAGAAATATACGAATCTAAGAAAGAAAGTCACCGGGAAAAACAATTTCTGGATAAAAAACCTGGAATTAAAAACTTCGGCAAAAATTCCCAATTTTCTGAAATCCTAGGACAAAATGTCACTGGAAATACAGTCCTAAGTTTTAGATTCCTGGGACGTTTTTTCCTAAAATAATATGGGGGCTGCCAATAAAGTCTCAGCAAATAAGATCACAGGTATTAAAGTCCTGAAGAAAAAAAATCCGAAGTCTTGTGAAAATGAGATCAAGTCTGTGACGCTTTTATAAAAAGGACTTTTTCTCTAAGCATCTGCATATATATCCAGGGGTATTTTTAATACCAATTGCCCCTTTTTTTGCAAGGTTGAAAACATCCTTTGTTCCCATGCATTTTCTACTAAAACTTTTTTCCGGGGACATTTTTGTAAATAGGACTTTATTTCCAAAGACATTTTATTTCAAGGACTTTTTTAGTGCCAAAATTTAGGATTTTATTTCCGAAAACTTTTTCATAAAACCTTTTTGGCGATTACCAAATAGACAGGGTTAATCACTTAAAAAATCAAACTTTTGTTTTCTGCCTTTAAAGGGGCTATAAGTGTATTTTCAAGGAACTATACCAGGGAGTCAGGAATAGAAGGGAAGATATAACTGACCCGGTTCGCCCTACCATATGATTATACATGCTTTGCAGACGGGTACTCCATTTGTATGTATATGAAATATTCAGAATAGGTTATTGTATACGCGGTAATTGTACATCAAACAAATATTTCTTATTCAAATGAAGTACCCGTCTGCAAAGCATGTATAATCATATGGAAAGGGGAACCGCGTCAGTTATATCTCCCTTCTATTCCTTACTCCCTGATGCGATTCCATTAACGCCTGATCCAATCAGGGTTCAGTCATGTGTTTGGTGTCTATTCTGAACCAATAGAAATAGTATGGCAGAATCATCTATCTTTCTATCTATCTCATTATCTAATTAGAGATTGATCCGTATATCGGGGCTAAACAGTAACTGAAAATATTTACTTATATCGAAACTATAGTGAACGGAAAGGGGTGAGAGGGGTGGGGAGAGGAAGAGAAAGGGGTGAGAGGGGTGGGGAGAGGAAGGGAAAGGGGTGAGAGGGGTGGGGAGAGGAAGGGAAAGGGGTGAGAGGGGTGGGGAGAGGAAGGGAAAGGGGTGAGAGGGGTGGGGAGAGGAAGGGAAAGGTTGAAGGTCCAATAGAACAGAAAACATAACGAAGTACGAACCTAAAATCCGGATTTTTTCAATGTGAAACCCCTCAATACAGAACAACATGTTGTTGCGGGCTTAAGTTAAAAAATCATAATAATAGATTTTATTTTTAACCTTGGAATTCACTCGGCCAGTGGAAAACAAAACTAAAGTTGATATTTTTCAATAAAATTTTATCAGATTATTTCTTTCACAAAAATGTTGAGAAATGTTTTACGGGTCACAGGGTTTGTATATAACAAGACGACAGAGCTCGAAACTTAAAACTCCGAGTTTCCATTTCGGGGTCTTAACATTTAAGTAGATTTTAATTTAAGAGATTCGAAATAAAGAAGAATATGAAGAAACTAAATGATATTTCATAACAAAAATATTGATATCTACAAAACTGCCTAACCCCATTCGTGAAACCCAGGTTTCAAAACTGGTTTTTATAACGATACCCTGTCTTAAGTTTTGGGCTCGGAGTTGAATGGTTTTCACTGTATGTACACGTGTAAGGGAGTTCAAATAAATATGTTAAAATGATGTTATACAGGGAATTTTAATATATATAAACTATTGTATATGTAGGAAGTGCCAAAATGCTTGACCTCTGCTGTGGAAACTTTTGATTTGAATCAATTAAGAATTTTAGCATGAATTAAGAAATAGCTTACTCGTATATCCGCGAGCAAGAGAAATAATTGAGGCCTCTGATAGGTATGTATCAGAGGAATAAATCTTATTCTCTAATCCACAAGAATCACGAATTAATAATTTAAAAGTTCGGGCCTCAGTACAGCATCTGAGACACAGACTAACACAGACTGCTACTAAGGTCTACTTGGAAAGCTAAGCAGGCCTATTGTTTGTGTCCCGGCAATTTCCAAGATTTTGACTGCCATCTAACGGCCACTTGTTGCATATAATACCCCATTCAGAGGTTAAGTTTTAAAAGTTTTAAAGAAACGCTCTAACTTTACCATAAAACATATAATTTTTTGAATTTAGTCTATTTTTGAAGGTTTTGTATTTCGTATTCAAAGGATCCTTAAATTTCTCTGAAAACAGATGTCTGCTGATTGGTCGTGTACTCCAATTAAATACAATGTAACCTGCTGTGGAAAATATCGCATTTACTAGCGCATGAGCAGTCTGTGTTGGTCTGTGTTAGTCTGTGTTGGTCTGTGTTGGTCTGTGTTAGTCTGTGTTGGTCTGTGTTAGTCTGTGTTAGTTGTTAGATATTTCTCAACACCAGACACTTGTATGCAAAGTTTATTCAGCGAACTCTATACAGTTTACACATATTATGTAATCTTTCACAGAGAGGATACAGGATACAGGGATACAGGATACAGGATACATGAATACAGGATACAGCGATACAGGATACAGGATACAGGATACAGGATACAGGATACATAAATACAGGATACATCGATACAGGATACAGGATACAGGATACAGGATACAGGGATATAGGATACATGATACAAGATTATAGAAGAATGATAGAGGATAAAGGATACAATCAGCAAATTCTACGACACCGTAAAATTAGAAAAGAAAATTTAGGAGAACTATTATAAAGTGTTCTGGTTAGGGAGGATTACATAATATCTCAGATATCACATAACTTTCATTCTTCTTAAAGTAGGTATCACTATACTATATCAAAGAATTAGTTTAAAAGACGATATCGAATTCGTCACTGAATTCCCATGTTTTTTGGGACACCCTGTATATAAAAAAATTCAAATCATCAAAATCACAAATAACAACATTTACCACTTTAATATTTCCCAAATCTTACTTACCACTGTAATATTACCCAAATCTTACTTACCACTTTAATATTTCCCAAATCTCGTTTACCACTTCAATATTTCCCAAATTTCATTTACTACTTTAATATTTCCCGAATCTCATTTACCACTTTAATATTTCCCAAATCTTATTTTCCACTTTAACATTTCCCAAATCTCATTTACCACTTTGATATTTCCCAAATCTCATTTACCACTTTGATATTTCCCAAATCTCATAAACCACTTTGATATTTCCCAAATCTCATTTACCGCATAATTATTCAACACTTTTTTTGCTTCCTAAACATTATTCTTTACTACATTATTAGTTACCACATTTTAAGTTACCCATTATTACAGTTACCACATTATAAGTTACTCATTATACAGTTACCACATTATAAGTTTCACATTATTACAATTACCACATTCTTAGTTACAACACAATAAGTTATCATATTATAAGTTATCTCACTATAAGTTACCACATTATAAGTTACCACATTATCAGTTACCACATTATAAGTTACTCATTATACAGTTACCACATTCTTAGTTACAACACAATAAGTTATCCTATTATAAGTTATCTCACTATAAGTTGTCACATTATAAGTTACCACATTATAAGTTACCACATTATCAGTTACCACATTATAAGTTACTCATTATACAGTTACCACATTCTTAGTTACAACACAATAAGTTATCCTATTATAAGTTATCTCACTATAAGTTGTCACATTATAAGTTACCACATTATAAGTTGTCACATTATAAGTTTCCACATTATAAGTTACCACATCATAAGTTACCACATTATAAGTTACCACATTATAAGTTACCACATTATAAGTTACCACATTATAAGTTACCACATTTTTAGCTACCATATTATAAGTTACCACATTATAAGTTACCACATTATAACTTATCACATTATTTTAGTTACCACATTATAAGTTACCACATTATAAGTTACCACATCATAAGTTACCACATTATAAGTTACCACATTATAAGTTACCACATTATAAGTTACCACATTATAAGTTACCACATTTTAAGTTACCACATAATAAGTTACCACATTATAAGTTACCACATTATAAGTTACCACATTATAACTTATCACATTATTTTAGTTACCTCACATTTAGCATTTTCTAATTTTCCTTGATTAGGGTTTACACTATCAACCTTATCCCTGAACATAATCTGGTTAAAAACTTAAACACCAGTATAGAAATATAGCCATTGTGTTTAGAACTAAAGTGCAGATACAAACAAAAAAAATGTGTTTAGAACTATGGTGGGGGGTATATAGGTGAGAAATTTTTTTTGATTTAATCATCTTTAACAAAAAAATCTTGTAAATCTTAATAATGGAACTGTTGACGTAATTTCAAGTGACAACCCATTTACAGATAGGAATATCCGATTTACAAAAATATCCGTTAAATATTTGTTTAACTAAGAATCAATGAGATTCTTTATTTACTGTGGAAAAATTGAGCATTTCAATTGTGGTTTCTCTGGAAATTTGCGGAATTTATAAGAAAAAGACAATAAAGGTAGTTTTTATAATTTAACACTTTTAAAATAAAGAAAAAACGACTATATCTTCAACATTATTGATCAGATAAAGGTAACGTTGTGAATCAGGGATGATCGTATTTAATTGTAGGGAGGGAGCCTTTGAAGGTTAACAAAATAAGATACAAGTTGAGGTGTTCGATGATCTACCTGGGCACGCAGCAGGACCAAATCATCCCGCCGTTGCAGAGGTCCATAGGCTTGTTCCCGCCAAACACACAGGTGGTTGCTAGGTTACAGTCGTACTGATCACCTCGAAACCTGAAGAAAAAGATTTGGAGTTTTCTTCCTCACTTTCAACAGGTAATTCAGACAGTTTTTCTGGGATATTCTTTCAAGTCAATCCATCTAATTTAAACATATAATTGTATTTTCCAAGCGTATACAAAGCTCATAACGAAACAATTGTCAATGAATCATACGGAAATAAAAAGAACGTTTACTTTATAGTTATTTACTTTACAATATGTCAGTCTTACTTCATTACTAATGCATTTCTTTGTTTATATTTCCGGTTCCTCCTCCCCCCTCCCCCAATCTACCCAAATTTTTGTTGTATGAGATTTATTGAAGAACATCTTTTAGGGTTTTATTTTAAGGGTTTTCCTGAATATTCTGAAACTAGTTCTAAGAAACTAGAAGTATGTTAAACCAGCTTGACCTTGAACTGCATGAGTCAAGCTGACTGCAGAGAAATGACCTTCAAAACAGGGATTCACTGATAACCTGCATACGTCTAGCTGACATCAGCCCCCCCCCCCTGCTTCTCCCCACGGGATCAGCTGTTGCCGAACCTTTTCGCGGATTTTCTACTGGATATTTCCGGGAGATTTCAATGCCGAGATGGAGCAACGTCGTCGTAACCGGATACACTCCTTATATGCAACCAAGAATACAAATACTCCCACATACAGCCAGGATTCTTGCAGCCAGGCATCTACAGCGTACAAACAAGAATATGCTAAAGACTGGGTTTAGAAACTTCTTATTAAAATTTCCCTGTCGATTATTTCATTTTGTCAATTGCAATATTACTACCATAAAATTACCAAAACGTATTCCTTGTAAAGTAATTAAAACAATCTGTTCTAATCTGAAAGGCTTTAAATAAACATGCTTTATGCATTTTAATTCTTTGAACTTAAACTTCCTTTTTTCTGGTTGACAGCTGATTGTTTTGCTTGGCTGGTATCGGAGAGGGAGGAACCCAGGAATTGTTTTGTGTTTTTAATCAACAAATACTACATGTCACGACTTACGATGCATTGACAACACTTCAACATAAAAGTTGGAAAAAACTTTAATTTTAAACGTGAAGAAGAAGTCTGAAATATTAAAGGTTTACAACGTACGTTAGTAATCATTCATTTAAAAAGTTCCCTAAATGAAAAAAAATATATACAAATATAGTTTAAAAACATTTCAAATATAGTTTTAAAACATTACAAATATAGTTTTAGAATAACGTACATAACGTACGTTTCATAAAGCCTGAACGTTCCCTTTCAATTTACCCGTAATTTCAAGTGGCCTACCCGATTTATAATGGCACCCTTAAAACGTCTGATCAAATATGAATTGTTTTATACAAATTCACTACTTGCGCATTCCTTGCTTCAGAAACAATGAAAAAATTATCAGAACTGAGCACTTTTTAAGCCGGTAAACGGCGTTGTCTTCAACATCTAGGATTCAATTTAGCTTTTAAATAGGTACCGCGGTGTGAATGGTCCGGGCCCCTGGTAAATAGGTACCGCGGTGTGAATGGTCCGGGCCCCTGGTAAATAGGTACCGCGGTGTGAATGGTCCGGGCCCCTGGTAAAATAAATGGTCACATAAAATTACGAGTACAGTCCATGTTAAAATAAAATGGTAGTTTACCAACAATGATTTGGTATAAGAACAGGTCCCGTATCTTTATCCGAGGCACCTCCTATACCCCCCAGCAGGGAGGTAGCTATATCTGCTACAAAATCCAATATGCCCCTCTCATCTCCCGTACTGTTGCCACCCCTGAAATGATAATTTTTATATATTTATTTTTAATCTAACACATTTAAATAAAATACTGTTCTTTAATTAAATTATCAATGACATGAAAAAATAAATAATAATGATAGAAGTAATAATAACAATACTAAGAATAATAATAATAATTATAGTAATAATTATAATAATAATCATAATAATAATGATGAAAATGAAAATAAACACCTGAAAATCATAAAAATTAGAATAAAACAAGTAAGTTTTATGCTATCTAGAAATTTTAACTGTTTTTCATCCTAACTCCTCTTATTTAAAAGCTATTGAGAAGAGTACACGGGCAGCCGTAGTACATTTTAATTTCCGAGCCGGGTCAACCTTTCCGGTCCCAGTTTGTACTGTACCTAGCTCTATGGACAGGACTAGCCGGTGCAACAAGGTTGACGCAGTCAGACTTGTTGCTTCATATATATTGAATTTACTTTTACTAAATAGGCAGATGTGCTTGAATAAAAATGTTTAGAATTTCTAGTTTTGACTTTTGAGTTTCTCTCGCAATTATGCATAATTTGAATTATTTGAGGTAAACCAGTAAACGTTGTAATGTTTACAAACTTTTAACGATTTATTTTACAAAGACGACATTTGTCAGAAAATAATTAAATCAGCTTTTGTTCGGTAGCACTTCTCTCTCTTATTAAAGGGTTCGTAGCAGTTCGTACTTATTAAGCAGACACTTCATTTGAAGGGGTTTCAAGACTATTTTAAGTAATCCTCCATTTAAAGAGTTTACAACGGTTTTCAAATTTTAGGAAGGATTATAAATATCTTTGAATAGAAAAAATACCGTTGTGAATCGGGTATTTAACTTTCTAAAGGGAGTTTAATAACCCGCCCCCCCCCACCGTATACAAAGAGGAGAGTAAACTGAATACTGTATTTAAAGGGAGAGTATACTGAATACTGTATATAAAGGGAGAGAATACTGAATACTGTATATAAAGGGAGAGTATACTTAAGATTGTATATAAAGGGAGAGTATACTGAATACTGTATATAAAGGGAGAGTATACTGAATACTGTATATAAAGGGAGAGTATACTGAATACTGTATATAAAGGGAAAGTATACTGAATACTGTGTATAAATGAATGGTTAACCTTGATTTTACGGTTTAATAACTTAACTCAACTGCAGTTGATATCCCAACCTGTACTTTTATACAGGGGTGTTAAATCTAAGGAGGAAGGAGGGGGAGGGGTTACCCCCTTCGTTAACTTCCCCACCCCTTCACCCCATAAATAGTCTTTTTAGCAGAGTGCATAATATATCAAATTTCAGATAAAATTTTATTGTATCAATTTTATAAACTTGAGTTTGCGCCTTGGTAGAATGAAGGTTACTTATACTAATATATATAAAAAAAGAGAATGTAATATTCAATTTGCCTGTCAACCTTTTCTTTTGATGACTATTTATTCATAAATTTGGTTTGTCTTTCTGTTTGTTTTTATCCAATAAACACCAAAACGGCTGAACCGACCAGGCCCAAATGACCCAAGGAATGTTTATGGAAGGTCAAACTTTAAAAAATAGGCATGGAAAAGTCACATTATTTTTACATATGCTATGCAATGATAACAGAAAAATCTGCAAGTTTTATAATGTAGGCAGACAAGATGGTGGCTTTACAAGCAACATTAAAAAAGAAACACGGGGCTCCTCAAAAGCATAAATCTATATATAAATTTGGCTTGTCTGTCTGTTTGTCTGTTTGTATCCAATAAACGTCAAAACGGCTGAACCGATCGGGCCCAAATTTTTTGGGGGACATCTAGGGACCCCAGGGAAGGTTTATGAATGATTGAAATTTTAAATATTTGTCTCCATCAAAATTCGATCGTCATTAAATTTTTGAAAATTTTGAAAATCCGATATTTTTTAAAAACCAACGAATGAATTTATGCATTTTCCGAAGATTTGGAGATTCTTTTTAACTGAATCAGTTTCGATAAAAAATATTTACACAATTTTGGTTCTGATTGGTATCATATTGACATGCCAATTACTCTAAGATAAACTCAAAACTGTTATAAACACTCTCTTTGCACATACAAAAAATAAACTTGTCTGTGCATCTAATATATTCTCTACAGAATATTAGTTAGTCCATGAAACCATCAAATTTTCTAATTGACGAATTTTTAAACTGGGATTTTTAAATTGAACATATCCGAATAAAATTGCAAGTTCAATCTTTGCTTTGTCTCAAATTAAGAATATCTTATTATTAAACATTGTTTACTTGTTTATAACTCTCTTGTAAGGCTTCATATTGAATATGCAATAGTTACTTGGGGAGGGGTTAAAAACGCTAAACTGCAAAAAAATTATTTATTTGCAAAAAAAGGACAATCAGAGCGGTTAATAATAGTACTTTCAAGGCACATTCAAATCCACTATTTTCAAAACTGAAAGTTCTTAATACATACAATCTTAGTGTTCTGACATTTATGCATGGATACTTCAATGATAACCTTTCATCTTCCTTTCCAAATATGTTTAAATCTCTAACTAAACCGAATAGAACAAAATCATATAAATTAGAACGGATTTTAAACAAAAATCTAGAAAGCTTTCCGTCCGCAATGTTTCCTAAATTGTGGAATGCAATTGAAATTGACCTTAAAGAAACTAAATCTGCAAAAATATTTAAACAAAGAGTAATCAATATTTATCTTGAGAATTATGAGAGAGATGCGTAAAACCTAGTTTTATATCATGTTTGTAGATTTTATGTAAAAAAGTAAAAAAACTGACACTTTATTAGCTTATTTGTGTTTGGGTATTCACCTTCCTTAACACCCTGTATTTTAATTTATCTCTACATTAATCTCTCTGATCTCACCCTGCCACATATCACCTGACAATCTCCTTCCTTTCAATCAACTCCTTACTTAGCCAAAAACATAATTTGATGTGTATAACCAATTATATTCATTATCGTTAACTAACTTAGGGCCAACCACTCAAAACAACCAACCCTGGTTAAGCGGGTCCAAACTGCATAGTACATTGTGATTGCTTATTTGTAATATCTCATGCTTTGTTGTTGAATAAAAATATGAACGAAAATATTTTTCTTACTTAATATCTTTGTTTCCTGTTTTTTCTTCTCTTTCCGACCCCCCCCCCCCTCCATGTCTTGATTTAATCTGGGAAATCTTTTTAAAAATGACTTATTAATCCTAATCTTTTGAATATTGTTGAAAGTTTATCAATTATTTATAAGTCATTATCTACCCTCTGTAAAAGTTTTCTTGTTCAGAGTTTTAAAAATAATTAGCTGAAATTCAGTAAATAAAAAGTTTACGATATCAGGTTGCAAAGATATAGGGTTCCTACATTACCTTATTAGAGAAGAATCAGTTCTTACACCCATGACAGTGGCAAACATATCCCTGAGCCCCCTTTCCTCCCTTGATAAGGGTTCCTCCCACTTAGTTGATAACTGTGAGGGGGTTGAGAGCCCCTGCCTCCCCCTCCCCTCCAGGGGTAGGAGAAGAAGAAGGAGGGGGAGAATAAACATTGCGAGAATAACTTGACTGTCACCATGAAGTTAGGAAATCACATAAACGCACATACATTAGACGAGCTCCTCACTAGCCAGTGTAACGCGCACATTTTGTTTCCCAACTGAAAGTGAAAACTCGCGTCACAGTGTGTGCTCGGAGGGATGACTGCATGCAGGGATAAGACTACGCGTACGTGCATGGACCCTTGTTAGTCGCGTGCACAAGGAAGACTGGGAAATGTAAAGCAAACTTGGTGACGGGAACGCGCCTAAACCTTCAATAGATTTATCCATCTAAAATTTCCAAACCCATAAGAGTGTATAGGACTAATAATGTGCAGGACAAATAAAGTCTAGGACTAATAATGTATAGGACACATAAAGTGTAGGACTAATGATGTGCAGGACAAATAAAGTGTAGGACTAATGATGCACAGGACAAATAAAGTGTAGGACTAACGATGTGCAGGACAAATAAAGTGTAGGACTATTGATGTGCAGGACAAATAAAATGTGGGACTAATGATGTGTAGGATAAATAAAATGTGGGACTAATGATGTGTAGGATAAATAAAGTGTAGGACTAATGATGTGTAGGACAAGTAAAGTGTAGGACTAATGATGTGTAGGACAAATAAAGTGTAGGACTAATGATGCGTAGGACAAATAAAGTGTAGGACTAATGATGTGCAGGACAAATAAAATGTGGGACTAATGATGTGCAGGAAAAGTAAAGTGTAGGACTAATGATGTGTAGGACAAATGAAGTGTAGGACTAATGATGCGTAGGACAAATAAAGTGTAGGACTAATGATGTGCAGGACAAATAAAATGTGGGACTAATGATGTGCAGGACAAATAAAGTGTAGGACTAATGATGTGCAGGACAAATAAAGTGTAGGACTAATAATGTGCAGGACAAATAAAGTGTAGGACTAATGATGCGTAGGATAAATAAAGTGTATAACTAATGATGTGCAGGATTAATAAAGTGTAGGACTAATGATGTGTAGGACAAATAAAGTGTAGGACAAATGATGTGCAGGACAAATAAAATGTAGGTCTAATGATGTATATAGGACAAGTAAAGTGTAGGACTAATGATGTGTAGGACAAGTAAAGTGTACGGAGGACTAATGATGTGTCACTGTATGAAAAATAAAGGGTAGGACAAAATATGTGTATAATAGCTTTAGGATAATAGTATGTAGGACAAATGATTATTTCCTATTCTAAGACAAAATATGTGAATATGTGCATCTTAAAATTTTTAAACATTCTAGTCAAATAGGGCTGGGCACGTTCCAAATTTTTCCAGTTGTTTAGTTAACAATTAGTTTCAACCGTTAAAAAAATTTAGGGTGCACTTAGTTTTAAAGGTAAGAATGGGACACTTGTTTCATTATAGGTATTTTCCGTTTTTTTAATTTACCGTTAGTTAACGATATCAATATATTAAAGTCGTTAACAGTAGAAATTCCGCCATTAACGGTTGTTTTTTTGCAAAAACGGCTAATCAGTTTCCTTAGAACGGTTTTTGCCGTTCGTTAACGAACTCTTCCGTTAATTTTCGAAAACCTCCGTTTCGTTAACGGAACTTTGCACAGCATCATACATTCTATACTTTCTAATTTTCTTGACCATTTTTAATCGCTTAAAGATATATAAGTTTTTTTCGGAACAGAAGTTCAATAATCGTAAGTTATTGACTGTTAAATAAATATCCAGGGACCGAAATTTAAACCTTCTTGTTCATAGTTTTTATTTTCTATCAGGTTTTTAATTTGTTTCTTTTAAGAAAACTTTTTAAAACTTTTATTCGGAAACGTTATCCAGCCCTATGTAAGGTGATACATTTGATACCTTTCTGAGTTAAAACCAAGGTTGTATAATAAGGTTGGTTGTACTCTCGATACGCTTCAATGTATTGAAAATTTCGTCTCCTGAGATAGATAGATAAACCCTCATAAGACGTCACTCTTGCCTCTATGATCAGTGACGTCATATGAGGTCTTTATCTATCTAACTTAGGAGACGACATTTTCCGTACATTGGCGCGTATCGAGAGTTACCTGACTTAATACAAGCAACCCCTTTATAGAGGACGTGAATGATATAAACCACAGATATTTAGTTGATGATTTATAATGCAGTTTAATCCAGAACTTCTTACTCCTAGACATCGAAAGAATTTATTAAATGCCGCTTTCTAAACCTACTGAAAATGGAATGATGCAGATATTTAAAATTGACAAGACAATAATTTAATAATTTCTTTCTATGTCTCCGAAGTTCTAGGTTGCAGTTGCAGTATGTGAGATATAATTTATTCAATCTACTTCTTTGCATTAATGGTTGCAATGCATTTAGCCCGTCCATTATTTCTCCACCTTTCTTAGTTATGGGCTGGGAAAAGGTTAAAAACCGATTTTAAGATTCCAAATTTAGTGTAAAAAAACATTTTTTTTTTGGGGGGGGGCGATTTAAAACATGTTAATACTTGTAATATTGCACGCAGAATTAAGACGATACAGAGAAGTAATCCCTTTATGCCATTAGGTACACCCCGTACAAGTAAAGAACCTATATATGAGTAACTGGTTAACATATAAGGATGAAAAGTTACAGCTGAAATGACTTATATCCTAAAGTAACTTTAAGCGAGAATAAGTTGTTGAAAAAAACATCCTCACATTTTTGTCGATATCCAAGGGTGTTACTGAGAGGGGGGGGGGTAGCCGAGCGGTTGCCCCTCCCTGAGATCCTAGAAGGGAACACTGCCCTTGATTTTGCTTCAACATACAGGGTGTCCCACGAAACATGACAGTATGCAGGACGACTTGAATGTCGTCTTGATTTTTGATATAATTTGCTGCGTTTATTTGTCAACCTAAATTTAGAAGTAAATTTCTAGAGATAATAATCACAAAATTTCCCTTGTCCTGCCATTTCCAAAATGTGGTCTGCCTTTTTTGTGCTTTCAATATTGCCCGAGATATGAAGAATTTCGTTCAGATTTCGACAATTTTGCTTTTATTTAACAAAATTGAAATCTGAACCAAACTCTTTATATCTCCGGTAATATTGAAAGCACAAAAAACGCAGACCACTTTTTGGAAATGCCAGGGCTAGGAGAATTATGTGATAATTGTTTTAAGAATCATACATGTTAAAGTAGATAGAAGACTAAATGTCACAAATAAATTCAAATACCAAAGACGACTTTCAAGTCGTCTTCCTATTGTCATGTTTCGTGGGACACCCTGTATTAATTTGTTAAAGATTATTAGTTCAGTGAAGTTGAGTTCATAATGTCTTTTGTAGTTTGCTAGTAAGCTAGGCTGATGTATTTAATAATAAACTTAAAAACAATTTTCTATAAACCATCATCAAGATCAAGATTACTAAAAAACGTCTAATTTAAGACAAAGTTAAATAATCAGCATTAATTAATGTTATAAAACAAAATAAAAAGAAAAAAAGAAAAGTTTTCAGAAGCAGTTTTTGTATTCATATCCACTTGTGGTCCACTAGAGTCACAACATGAGATGATAAGTTCTCAAAGATAAAATGTTATTGGATCGGAGTATGTACAGAGTTTATATACAGGGTGTCCCAATAAACATGGGAATTCAGTGACGAATTCGATATCGTCTTTTTAAATAATTCTTTGTATAGTATTCACCTTTTACCCTTTTCATAAAATAAACTCTAGCAGACATAATAATATTATGGCTTTTGAAATTAGGTATTACATTGCTAAATCATAACAAAGACGATATCCAATTCGTCACTGAATTCCCATATTTTTTGGGACACCCTGTAGGTTCAACTAAACAGCGGAAGATATTGCGGAAAGGTTTTGGCAACAACTTAGCAACAGTTTTGCGTGAGCTGAGTCACTTGTGTATTCTGAGTAAAAATCGTTTTTTATGTTGAAGGTTGAATTCTCAAGCAGAAGAATCTGAAAATCTTGACACAAATTTCCCTCTTAGGGGGGGGTGAAATTAGGTTTCCCCCCGCCATTGCCTACTCGGATAGATAAAAAGTAGCAAATGTAATTTGGGAACTGGCTTGAAAAGGCAAGAATTCAAGGTATTTAATTCAACGCAAAAATCAAATTCGGTTTTCAGAAATCAGAATTCATAATTCTACGCAAATTTTAAGCTATAACTTTAAACTCTTTCAATTCTTCAGTTTTGGACTCTGGAAGACGACATTTTATAGCATAATCGTGAATACGCTTTAATCTTTCTTTCTCTACTATTGAAACGCTAGAAAGGCCAACATATAAATCTATCTTTGGTCTACATCTCAGGGCCGTAAAAGATGTTTCTAAAGGGGGGGGGGATGAGACATAAAAGTGGTATATAATCTGTGATTTTAAATATATTGTTATTTTTGCTTTTATAGATGATCTTTTACAAGTTACATTGGTTTCTTTATTCTTATATTATCTTTTCAAAACTAAGGAACACTTTTTTAGTTGTAATTCTACGCATTTTTAAAACTAGTACTTTTATTTAACATTTTCTAGAATAAGTAGATTTTTACGATATGATTTGGAAACGGCTAAATTTAGCTAAATATGTTATCCTATCCACAGGGTGTCCCACGAAACATGACAGTTGGTGAATAGTTTTTAATGTCTTCTTCAATATACGTATTAAATATTATAGACTTTTTGCAGTTTATTTATTTAAAAAAATCTTTTACTCAAATATATTTTACTTTGAAATCAATTTTACTATAATATGGCTGCCGTGAAATGTTTTTTTATTCTCTTGAGGTTCAAACAACTTAACAAACTATGGAAGAAGACATTTAAGACTTTTCACCAACTGTCATGTTTCGTGGGATCCTGTAGTTAACGAATCGAGTTTGATGATATAGAGTTACCTACAGCTAAACCCTAAATGAGCCATACATCAAAAGAATTTATCAAATGTAGTCATGAAAATTTTTTCAATTGGTTTTATAATATTCTACGTAAATCTCAGCATTTGCAAAAATAAATAAATAGTCATGAATATGCGGGAACAGGTTTAAAGAGCTCCATATAATCATTTAATCTGCAACATTCCATTATCAGAAAGTGAAGAATACGACATTTGATGAATTCTTTCGATGCAAGGCTTATTAAGGGTTGAACTGTACAAAGACAAAGACTTCAGAGACGACTTACGCGGATGTCATTTATTATACTGCCTTTTTCTTTATATTCATGATTCATAAAGTGTATT